TATTTTCCATCTTTATTAAATACTACAAGGTACACAAATATATTTATAATGGTGCTTAAAAACTTAATTACTTTATTACTTTACAAATACTTCACTACCTCCAATGTGATTATTATTATATTCAGCAAACAAACTTCCATTTCATATTACCATAATGCAAACATCTAAAATTCACATACATTCTTACCATTAAGCAAGGAATGCTGCATGTAGGATAGGAATGACTGAGATCTACTCATATCTTATAAAAAAAATTATGTAAAAAATATGTTTTCCAAATATCACTTCCCTGAATAATTTTTTGTTACTTTTTTAAAGTTCATATTCTGTGGGAAGAACCTGGCATACAAACTTTTAACTATATGTCTATGGAGATTCTCAGTCATCTAGGTTGTCCCAAAGGTGCTTTCCAGAGGCAACTGGACTTTCTAGTTTTTATTTGAAGACATTTCGCCTCTCGCTGAAGAAGCTTCTTGGATGAGAAGCGAAACGTCTTCAAAGAAAAACCAGAGAGTCCAGTTGCCTCTTGAAAAATTTTTAACTATAAGTTTTACAGAGAAGAAAGAGTAGCTCAATCGCTAACTCTTAGTTTTAATTTAAAGAACATTTATAAAATTCAGCTGTAACATTTATTAACCCTAATCACTGAATCTGAACCCTGAAATATGAAAGAAATAGTACTGGATCATAACTGTCTTTTCTTCAAGTTTGAATTAAATACAAATGGGATGTAGAATGAGACCCAACAAAATTCTAGAATCATACAAGTTGGAAGGAATCATTTAGATTATGTAGACCCATATTCTGCTCAGTGTAGGAATCCAGATTAAAGCATCTTGTTTCGATGTTGCTTGTAGATATCTTAAAACTTGGCTACCACCAGTCTGGATAATTGGGTGCACAGTTGAATTGCTATTATTGCTGGATGTATGTGTACTTTTTCTAATATTCTATAGCAGTGGTTCTCAACTTTTTCTCCACCACAGACCTCTTTTAAATACCTTTTGTGGCCACAGACCATAGCCACGGACCACCAAGACTTAACTCAATATTTAAGTCTTAACATTTCTTCAAGCCTTCGTGGACGCCCCCTATGATGACCACAGGTTGGAACCATTGTTTTATAGGCATCATGTAGTTTATATATACATATAGATATACAAATTGTCATCTTGCATTCTGAAATGAAAGAAGAGGGCTTGATCTTCTAAATGATAACCATTCAGATGTTTGAAATGTACTAACAATATCAGCTTAGACATTTTTTTCTCAAAACTAAGCATGCACACCTTTCAATTTCTCTTTAGAAAAGTTAGGTTTATAATCCCTAAATTACCCTGCATTTACTTTTGAAGTCCAAATGTTTAATTATGCTGAGTTTTGTTTCAGCATGATGTTGTAAATTTCTGCTACTGGTTTCCGCAATTATGCTTTTCCTATTGATTAGTATTAAATCAGAGAGAATTGATTTGTGTGGGGTTTTTTTATTTAAAAGAAGCAGTTTATTTATTCTGTTAATTTGCGCAATTCTGGTCAATGACCACAATAAAGAACTAACTAAATGACTGGTTTTCTTAGTTTTCTTGTGCAGAGGAGAGTTATCTGCAAGAAAGCAGACAAGTTCTACATTTACATATTTAAGCTTAACTCCTTTTTTGGAAAATGTGTCAATGTAGCACATCCATTGTGGAAAATGGAGGCACATCTGCTAACTGAAGCAGATGAATAAATTATACATCCTCAAATGCTGCCCCAAAGTCCCTATTATATTAAGCTGAGCAGACTTTGAAAATCTTTGCAGGTTGCAAGTGCAGAAGATGGTTCTGTAATATTAAAAAAATCCACTAAGCAGGCCTGTCAAACTGGCAGCCCATGGGCTGGATGCATGATGGGCAGGCCACATCCACTCCAGTTCCACAAAGGCAAAAAATGTCACGATATGTCATGTGACACAATTGAGTTTGACACCTGTGCATTAGCACAAAGTTGAATTCGAAACACTTAACATTATTTTTTCCAACATCCAAGTTGATCCTTAGCTCTTTCGATTCCACAATTCTGTGATTGGTTTAATTTATATCACCAGAACTACAGAATTCAGGCTAATGTCATAAATTAACACCAATGTCACAAATTAACAATATTAACAGTATATTTGCAAAAGCCTTCTCCAACAGAAAATCTCTAAAAGTTTTCCACTGTGACTCCTTTAGCTATCCTTATCTTTTTCTCCAGTAGTTTTGCTTCCTCTTCTACAAATATATCGGAAGAAAATGTTACCTAACCAGTATAGTAACAAATCTGTGGGTTTGTGGTGTAGTTTTCAGTAGCACATGACTATGAGCAGACAGTTTGAAACTGTAGCTCAAAATATATGGAATAATCACATGATACACCCTAATTCACTCACTACGTCTGTAAATGAAAGTTTGCAAATCTTGACGAAAATCACATTTATTGTGAGGAAATTCTTTATACCAAGTCTATATGTCTGGAAACAATAATGAACAGAAAAACATCTATATTAAGCAATATACATGCAACTTTTTCAGAACTGTGATGACATAAGAACATTGTTTCAAATATAAAACAGGGAAATTTACCAGTTATACAAAATACTTGCCAAACAGAATATTGAAGGAATGTTCCATTCTCATGGAAAGTGATAGGTAGAACATACCATTTTCCAAATTCCATCAGTAGAGGGAATTTTTTCATAAGGATTCTGTCCTGGGCCTAGTACTTTTCAGTATTTTCATAAAGCAGTTAAAAGAGGGGATAGAACTATGCCCAGCAAATTTGCATATGATATAATGCTGGGGTATATTGCTAACATTTCAGAAGCAAAGTTCAAAGTTTAAAAGAATTTTGATAGTCTTGAACACTGGACCCTTCTAACAAAACACAATTAATTGGTAAGAAATGTAGGGCTGTGAACTTGGGATAGGAAAAACTGGATGCAAGCTACAACATAGGAAACATCTGGGTGTCCTAGTACACCACAGTTTAAGTATGAGTCAGTCATATGTGACAGAGGTGCTACAATGTCTAGCAGCATTAACATATGTATGAGATCGCTGGAAGTCAGTTTTCTATACTGATTGATCAGATACCTGGAATACTATACCCAATTTTTATCTTCATAATACAAGAAAATGCTGAACTGGAAAGAGTGAAGATGGTGAGAGGCTTAAAGAACTGGGTACGTTAAGCCTAAAGAAATCTGAAGAATGTTCCCTCCATTAGTAGATCAGACCAAAGGATAAACTCCACAGGAAGATATAACTATACAGGTAGCTGTCAGGGGATGATGGAAATTGGGCCTGGAAGAGCCTTGATGGCGCAGCAAATTAAAGTGCTGTTAATTAGCACCAGCTGCCTGCAATTACTGCAAGTTTGAATCTCAGCAGGCTCAAGGTTGACTCAGCCTTCCATCCTTTTGAGGTAGGTAAAATGAGGACCCGGATTGTGGGGGCAATAAACTGACTTTGTATAAAAAAGAATACCGCTTGGGGGGGCCAAAAGCCCTACTAAGGTATATACAAAAGTATGAAGGCTATTGCTTAATGCATTGTAAGCCGCCCTGAGTCTCCAGAGAAGGGCGGCATATAAATTGAACCAATAAATAAATAAATTTCCATCGTGAAGCAACACGGTCATAAAATACAATGTCATGTGATTATGGCAGTTCTAAGATTGCAGTTAGTCCTGGTTGCAGTCATTAAGCGAGGACCATATGGGTTGTTGACCAAGGGACTCACGACTGCAACTTCTGACTTCCTGCTGGCAGAGAACATTGGAAATTGTGGCCGTGCAATAGTGAGGACACTGCAATGACTGCAACTACAAGGATCCATTTTAAGTCCCATTCACTCAGTGCCATCCTAACCTTGAACAGTGGTCAAATGAATGGTTGTAACCTGAGGACTATCTGTACTTTATTGAGGTAAGTAATATCAAAATCTTGCATATGTGATTGTTATCCCTCCTCTCCTCCTTTTGCCCCAGTGAATCGGGGAGAGGTTTCCACTTCCAAATATTACCTTGCTTCTTAGAACTTAAAATATTTCAACCTTCTTTGACTACAGGAAGACACAATAGCAATTCCCAACACTTGGTGCTGTCACAGGGAAAAGGATATGGATGTATTATCCATATCTCACAAGGTAAGAACAGAACAAACAGGTGAAAGCTTTACAAAGGAAGAGTTAAGCTTGAAATTAGAAGGAATTTTCTGAAAGCAACATTAAGCAATGGAATGGTCTGTTTTCTGGAGTTATGGGTTTCAAGTCATCACGGCAGGTTTTCAAGCAAAGTTTGGAAAGCCATTTATCTGGGATAGTATGAGGATTCTTGTCTTGGGCAAGGCACTGGAATACACCTCCAAGGTCTTTCCAAATTCTGACTATTGTGCATGTATCTGAAGTAAATCAATCAGTGGTGGGATTCAAATTTTTTTACAACTGGTTCTGTGGGCGTGCCTTGGTAGGCGTGGCAGGGGAAGGATACTGTAAAATCTCCATTCCCATCCCACTCCAGGGGAAGGTTACTGCAAAATCCCCATTTCCTCCCAATCAGCTGGGACTTGGGAGGCAGAAGGTAGATGGGGGTACGGCCAGTCAGAGATGTTATTTACCGGTTCTCCAAACTACTCAAAATTTCCGCTACCGGTTCTCCATAACTGGTCAGTGGTCAGAACCTGCTGAATACCACCTCTGAATTTGATCAATAAAAACTTATGCAATTAGCAGTTTGTTATTCATTTAGTAGACATGTGACTGTTTTGCTTGCAGAAAATGAACACGGGCTCCCCAGCTGGAAATTACACACAAATTTGGAAACTTCTGCCCACGAAGCACATGTTCTGCTAAGTAGTTAAATCAGCCATGTGTATAGTGTATAGAGTCTGTGGTTTATACTATAAAGGTTGATTAACAAGTCACTTAGTACAATGTGATGTCTAGGTCCTTGGAAATGAGCACTCATGAAATGCAAAGAAAAATGTTTATGGCCAACGGTAAGTATTTTAATTCCAGGCTATCAACAGTTCTGAATGATCTTACTAACAAACGTTAATGGAAACCAGATAGTCTGCTTTACAAGCTGTTGTGAATGGAAACCAATGCATTTACTAAAACAGGTAGTCACACATTCGATAACTAGGTAAGACCTCATTCCTATGCCATCCTTGGTTCTTGTTTTATGTATAGTTGGGTTGTCTAATCAGGGACATGGGCAGAATGTAAATATATTAAATAAAATAAATAAAACTTCAAAATAGGGCACTTTTGTGGAGCTTTATATGTTCTTAGCGAACATCTACATTTTTTCATAGCAATTGGATAGAATATAAAGATTCCTCTGCCAATTTTGAATATACAACTACTGACAAAAGAAAAATGCTTAGAAATCATTTAAAAACATGTGATTTAGGTATGGTCAAAATTTAGGTGCATAGTAATGCAATGCATTTAAAATCATTTTTGTGCAGAAAAAAACCATAAAACAATATTGTTAGAGAATATTTTTGTCTGTTTTTTTCTCATAAAAAGTTGAAATTGCTATTATCCTATATAATTGATACAAAAATTTGACCTGGAATTAATATTTATTCAGCTTTTTATACACTATCAGAAAAGTTTATTTCTCTTATCTAATAGCTCTGTCATTTTGAAATAAGAAAAGAAGTCTGCACCCTGAACTACAACAGTCAATTCAGGTCTTTTAGCTTGAGTTTTCAGTACCTGTTTTGGAGCTAATTAAACTAACACCAGACAGTAATGTTCCATGTTGGAAGTTTATTTAATTGCTAATTCAACAAAAGAAGAGTATTCATTCTACTTTCAAATGCTGTGCTACAAGCATCAATCATAACAATTTATCTATGTTTTACTGCCTTTGATATTGCTTCATTATTCCTGGCCTGGAGCAGTTTTTGGCAATCTACTCTCTGAATAATACCTCTCTGACAGATTTTGGGAGACAAGAGGGAAGTGTTGCTATAAAATTCCTCCTTGTGTATGCTTCTCTATCAACATAATGAAGAAGCACCAGTTTATCATTCCCTGTACAACTTCTGAAATAATGCACAGCATAAACGACAACTTAAGTGTGATACACAGTAAGTTTGTGCTTAACATTTTGTATATAATTACAGATGCTATTTTTCATGCAATACTGCAAACTAGATAAATGACATTAACAGTCGTTATGGCAGCAAGTTCTTTTTCCAGAAACTTAAATGAATAATCAACTTTACAGGGGAGAAAAATAAAGACATTTAACACCCACTCCCTCCCTAATAAGAAGGTTAATTCTGTTTTCAAAATGAAGCCATATTTCCTTTTTGCATCAGAAAGTGAAAGCCAAAAGGATTTCAATATCAACACATTTATTTATTTCTATTATTTCTATTTGTTCTAAATGCTGGAAGGTATCAATTTACAGCTAAGGAACCTGATCAGCTTGCCAATTTCTATCTTATTCACAATACAGTACAAGACTGTTTCCCATAGAGATAGATGAATCCTTTGCTTCAGACAAAAACAAAGCTGGCAACAATTCAGGAATATACATCAAAAGATTATGAAGAGGAAGTACTGAAAATATTATATAGCAAAGCAAGAAAAACACCTCCACACAATCATTCAATTGGTCATTCCTGAGACAACTCTGTATTTGTTACCCCCACAGGATCCTCCTCAATACTGCTGCTTTCAGCTGTTATTATTTCAGGGGCGTTTTCCTTCTCTTCCTCCACAAACTGCTGCTTTTCCATTTGGACATCTTCAGCTTTCTCGTCAAGATTTTCTTGAGGAGGTACTTCTGCTGTTTCTGATACGCCTGCTCTCTCTTCTGCCTGTTCTTCCTCCACGTCAGTTTCTCCTTTGGAAAAACCTGTAGCAGAGCAAGGTGCTTCATCTTCTTCTGGTTTACTAGATTCACTGACTTCACTGGTTTCGATCACCTCCCCAGTATTCTCCCTTTTCTCTACAGTAGCACTTTCCTTTTCACCTTCAGCACCTTCTAAAACTTCAGATTCTTCAACATCTTGGTCAATACTTTCATCTGTAAATGGATCATCACCCTGATGAAGGGAGGAAGTACAATGTTATCAGTGTTTAACCATCTGATCTTGTCTTAGAGACTCTCAGACCTAGAACACAGAAGTTTGAGACTGAATGTTTGAAAAGTGAGCATCTATTTCAGTGCAGAAGGGCTCCTTCTGTCTCAAATTACCCAAGAAACTGTTTCTATATTTTATTCAAGTTTTTTTTTTACATATTATTGTTGGCCACTAAACTGAGACTGGCTAAATCTCTGACTTACAGTAGGAAGAAAGGACTCCAATGAATTCACTATGGATTTATATGGGCAATTTTACAATAAATGGTGTAAATATTTGGTAAAATACAGTACTTGTGACCTCTGAAAGACTATTCCTTTTCAAATTACTTTTAGAGCATACAATTTAGGGGCAGAAACTCCAATCTTTAAGAAATGGCCAGTTTTATTCAACAGCCAACAAGTCGGCTCTCTCAGATCCTATTAGCAAAGTCCAGCATTGACTCAGAGCTATAATTAATAATGGATACTTACAGATTTCAGTGGTATTATTAAGTAGATTACTTTCTGTCCAAGAACACTCTGTGACAACTGTACTGGGAATTGTACATATAGAAGCCATGCTAATTTTATTCAGATTGAGGTCAGGTTTTGGCACTGTCTACCACAGGAACAGAGCTTTGGTTCTAAAGAGGATTTTAGTTCTTTAATAAAGAAAATACCATATGAAAGCATCAGGCATATACTAATGATATGCCTGCCCATACCACGATAGTATCCAAAATCACTATGTTCCCTACTCCCCATCCTTGTAACTCTTCTCTAACGTGTACTATAAATAGCAGCAGCATGCTAAGGGCAGAATCTAGTCAATTACATGATCACATAGAAGCAACAATTCCTGAACTCCTATTTTCATGGGGACAGTAAGTGAAGAGTCCCATGCCTCTCTGTATCCAATGAATCCCACCCACAAAACTGGGCTAAATAATAACAGTAATGATTCCTGTATCCAGAAATTAAGAATCTGTTCTATGATCCAGCAGGATCAAATTCAGACCTGACTGCTTCCATGAAAGAAGATTCATGCATATGTAACATAAATAGCACCATCTTCTTTGGCTGAAAAATCAGCCAATCGGCCTTATTTACTGATATTCTGGACTTTTTAAAGAGCATTATGCTCTACCTTGCAATTTGGATTTGTCCATTAATCGCTATTAAAGAAAATGGGTAGAGGGATTCAGAGTCCCAGACTGGTGGAGACTGTCACAGGCTTCCTCAGGAAGGGCAAGATGCCATCATCCTTTAGGACAGGAAGCATTAGGTTAGTATTCAAGACTCATCTCTTGATGTCAACAATCTCACCCTGCCTTCAGCCTTCCTTTCATGGGGAAGGTGATGAGAAGTGTTTTGATGGGGCATCTCTGGCATTACCTGGAATCCTCAGATTTCCTTCACCCCTTTCAGCTTGGTTTTGCACCTGGGTATGGTACGGAGACAGTGCTGGGTGGGTCGAAGATCTCCTCCTGCTGATGGACAAAGGTCAGGGGTCCATGCTGATTCTGTTAGACCTGTCGGCAGCCTTTGATACTGTTGATCATGAGGTGTTGCTGAGGCACCTGCGGACCCTAGCAGGGGTAGACGGAGTTGCGCTTGAGTGGTTCCATTTTTTTCCTCCGAGAGATCCCAGAGGGTGGCACTGGGCAACTGCTCATCTGCCCCAGGGCTCTCTCATATGAGCTACCGCAGGGTTTATTTTGTCACCCCTCTTGTTCAACGTGTATGAGAGGCCGCTAAGGGAAGACAGCCTCAATATATGGGCCATCAGTACTAATAAGAGGCTGATGTTCTCAGCTCAAAGTCTCTTTCAATGGACCCAGAGAGCAGTGTCTCGATTTTGCTAGTGCTTGCCTAGCAGGAACTAGTTAATTGGCAGGTGGTCAGTCTGAGTAAGACCAAAGTGTTGCCAGTGGGAGGGGGTGCAGACACACAAGACCCCATGATTCGTGTTTGCCAAAAAAGGGTCCCTGTTGAATCTTGGATTGCTCCTGGATTCCCAGGACATAGTAGCAGCCAAACTTGCTTTTCATCTTCACTTGGACAGACGATTGCAATCTTTCCTCTCAGAAGTGGAAGTCATCAATTATCTATGACTAGGTATGCTACATAAGAAAACCCTTGATGGTCACCAGACGTTTTTGCATGACATGCAAGTGCCCATCTAGGCATGCACTCTTTCCATCATGGGTTTATCACACTCTTGCTTTGGAGACTGTACTGTCTTTTCAATTCTTAGCAAGGCAAAATGCTAAACTGACCATGACCCACAGAGCCATATGCAAATATTTTTGTCACCTAATATATCAGTGTCTAACAGTTGAGATTGGCTACGCTGATGTCAATTATTTCCATACAGGATTTTTGGGAATACAGGGAAATAAATGCTTTGACTTTGGAATGCTGGGAGATCAAAGCAGAGCTATTTCTTTTAAGAAAGATCATTCCTTGCCATAAGCAAGAAACCCAGTGCTTTATCCACAAACAAAAATATTTCAAGCAGTGCTGATTTTGGGCACTAAGTTCCCATTTAAGGTTTTACTATATTGTTCTTGTCAGATTTAATTTTAATTCCTTCATCACCACTTACAAATAGCTAAAGATTTCTTATACATTTTCTGCTAATCATTAGAATAAGTATCCAATTTATCCAATGTATCTGAAAAAAAGTGAATTCCATACTATTTCTGGGTTCAGACTATGCATAACTGGACAAATAGCATTGTTTCTTCATTTTATATGAAAGTTACATGCGGCATACTCAGTAACTAATAAAATGCTCAGTCAAGATCAAACTGGAGTTTCTGCTCCACTGCTCTGACAGAAGTTGGACTGAGCAGCAAATATCCTGCTTTCTTACCTTGAGGTATTTTTCTAGCATTTTCACAATGTGCTTGCTATTTAGGACACTTTTAGCAACATGAAAACTAGCCTTCTTGAAATGTTCAGCAGCCGTCTGAAAAGAACACATAAAATGTATTAGTAATTCTGATGATTAAATACAAAATAAACATGAGATTGCCATGGAAAATTGCAAATATTAAAGATTAAAAACAATCCCTAAATTCTTTTTATTAAACCCTTTGGGTTTTGGCCTACATAGTTACGTAGGACTCAGTCTAGAGATCTATAGTTTCCCTTATATGACCTTGTTTTTAAGGTAGAGCAAGATAAAACAGTTTTTTCCTGCACCTTGCCTTGTCCTATGAAGCCCCACTATATTTTTCCTAGTTTGTTCCAATTTGGAGAAAATTAACTGAAATCATTTTTCTTCAGCAGACTCTCAAGTAGGTTTCATTTCCTTTCATGTCTAGAAGATATTTTCCACTTATGGAAGTATTTCCAAACCATGTTAATCAAAATCTTTACAAAACTTGAATATAGAACAGGAAATTAAAATATGATTGTGCAAAGGTTCTTTAAATGTCTCTGTTAAAGTGGATTCATACCACCTATTAGTGAAAAAAGTGATACTATATTTCTACAGTACTTCAAACCATTTATTTTTCAAAAACTTTCTTAAGTCTGTAAGTCATAAACTGTCTTTTTCCTTCCTGTAGTAAGAATCATTTATATCAGGTCCATTAACGGCATTGCTTCTCTCTTTTTTTTATCAGTCTGGGTTAAAACCACTAATAATCACAATTTAGTTTAATGGCAGAAAAAATCAATGTATCTGAAAAATGAAAGCAGCCCTTATACTATGGAAATATTTCTATAGTATTCATCATTTCTACTTAAATTGAAAAGTGTCTGTCACTCTATAAAGAGAATTGGCAGTACTGAGAACACAAGCATAAGTATCTGATTTTGAACCTTACATTAACCTCTGATTTTTATACAGCAGGTTTGTTGGTATCAAACAGGAACTATCACACAAACAATAGTGAAAGTACACACCTTTGACATTTTAAATGTATTTTTCACATATTTTCACATACAAGCATTTTATGTTAATTTCAACATTAATTTTTTAAAAAACATAAATGCAAATTTTACATGTGGAAAAAGTATGTATGCCCCTATCACCTTCCTCAAATATGGATCAAGTGCATCAAATTAGGTGCAAATGATTAGAAATCATTAGTGATGATCTGGAAGGAACCTGTCTTGTTAAACCTCAGACGTTTAATCTTATTTGCTCTTTTTTGCTGAAGTGGATGGTCCAACTTGGTCTAGATGAAAAGTGCTCTCTAAGACTTTTAGAAAGAAGTTTAGAGATGTCTTTGAATCTGGAAAGGGATTTCAAAAGATCAGCAAACAATTGGATAGCAATCATCCTACTATTTGGAAGATCATCTACAAGAGGATAGGTTTTCAAACAACTGCCACCTGCCCAGGCCAGGTGGTTCCAGCAAGTCCAACCCAAGAGCAGAATGCCAGATGCTGAAGGAAGTTGCTAAGAACTCCAGAATTTTGCCATCTGACCTTTCAGTTAGACTTTGCCACTACTTTTGGGTTTTGGGTTTGCTAGTCTAAAGAAAAGAAAAGAAGAATTAGCGGTGACATGATAGCAGTATTCCAGTATTTGAGGGGCTGCCACAAAGAAGAGGACAACCCCTCAAAAAGCACCGGAGGGCAGGACAAGAAACAATGGTTGGAAAATAATCAGAGAAGCAATCTGGAATTAAGGAGAAAGTTCCTAACAGTGAAGACAATTAACCAGTGGAACACTTTGCCTTTAGAAATCGTGGGCACTCCATCACTGGAGGTTTTTAAGAAGAGATTAGACCAATGTTGGTGAACCTTTTTGACACTGAGTGTGGGAGCGCATGCGAGGGACCGACAGCTCACCATCACTGAATCCACTATGAATTCTTCATTGTACAAGAGGCTGGTTGAGGATAACGTGATAACATCTGGCAGAAGATTGGAGCTCAAGCAAAAATGGATCTTCAGACATGACAATGATCTTAAATGCTAGTAAATCCATCAAGGGATGGTGGGGGAAAAATGAATAAAGAGATCTGGAATGGCCAAATCAAAGCCCAGATTTAAATCCTATGAAGATTGTTGTGGGGTGATTTGAACCAGGCTGTGCGTGCAAGAACCCCTCCAACACTATACAAAAAATGGAAGAATGGAAAAAATTCATCCCAAACAATATGAGAGACTGTGAGAAAGTTATAGTAAAACCCTCACTTGAAGTTGTTTCTGCCAAAGAGGGTGATATAAGTATTACAACCAAGAGTGTACTTACTTTTTCCACAGAAGGATATGGCATGTTTGCCAATTTTTGATTGAACAAATGATTGTTAAGTCGATTTTTTATAGTTTTTTTTTGTTTAATTGCATCACCTTTTTCTTTATATATTATTATTATGAAGATAAATATTGATATGTTTACATATGTTTAAAAAAATTACATAAGGTATATTTACTTTTTCACAGGACATTATTAATATTTGATTCTGATAAAAGAATTATGTATACCACCTTGAAATGATTTAACTGACAAAAAAGGAGACATGAAAATTCTTTCTACTTAAGAGAGAAGATAATTACTGATGAAGACATTATTATGAAAATGTTGGATTGTGCTGAAATGAGTAGATTGACATTTGAAATAAGAGAACAGGAAGATAAACAATATTATTTGATATGGGAGATATTTTATCAATGGTTTGACAAAAAAGTATGGAGATGAGATAGCATATATGAAATGCTTAAATATTTATCTTCAGTTTAAGTAAAGAATAATTGTTATATGATGAGATTTGGAAAATTGTAAGCACTAAATGATTTTAACCGATTGAAATGCTGTCTATAATTGTGTGTAAGGATGATATTTTTATGTTGTTGTTGTTTTTTTGTTTTTTTATTTTAATCTAAAATAAAACTTTTTTTTTTTTTTTTTAAATCTTTCTACTTGAACTGATCCCTGGATGAAAGATAGTTAACAAAATAAATGTATTTGCTGCAAGGCTGTTATCTTCTAGAGGTAATAGACTTGTCCAAAAATAAATGAATTTATTTTGCTTACTCTGCGATTCCTATTGTGATCAACAGATCTCAGATGCCTCTGAAGAAGATATGGTTGTGCAGGAATTAGCATGTCACAAGCCATACAATGAGCAGCTTCTATCTTCTTAAAAAAGTGCTCCTGGCCAATTCCTGAAAAAATATGAATTGGAGCAAAAGTTATTGACAAAGTTCTAGATATGCTATTAAAAAGCATAAAAGTTGTTCCCATTCAATGCTGGGGTAATAGAAATGAAATACATATTATTTACCAGAACAATAGCTATAGTCTGAATACGTAAACCAGACTTTGTTTAAAAATGTGCATATAGTCATGATCACTATTAAAACGTCTGTTAACCCTTACAATGTTTAAAAGTAACATCACTGAGAGACAGTTTGGTGTAGTGGTTAAAGTGCTGGCCTAAAAACCAGGAGATTGTAAATTCTAGCCTTGCCTTAGGCATGAAAACCAGCTGGGTGACCTTGGATTGACCAATAGGAGGAGGAAGGAATATTATGTATGTTTGCCATCATGTTATATATAAAAAAAGCGAAGACAAAATAAAAATAAATAAATAATCATGAAGAAAATTGTCTTTTTAAGATTATCATGTAATATCTAATAGCATTATTGGGGTGTAAACATAAAATAAAGTAACATTAAAGAAAGACATTTTAGGTGCAAGGGAAAAAAGATTTTAGAGTATGGAGTTTTTACATTTTTGGTAATGAAGTAATTCAAGATTCCTGATAGTTCTTATGAGATTCTAAGGCAGTGATGGCTAACCTTTTTGCCGTCGTGTGCCAAAAGCGGGGGGAGCATGGCGAGGTCACCCATGTGTGTGCCCTGCCCCTGCGCCCCCCCACTTTTAGCACATGATGGCACAGTGGGCCCAGGAGGCCCGTTTTTCACTTTCCCCAGGCTCCAGAGGCTTTTTAGGAGCCTGGGGAGGGCAAAAACGGCCTTCCCCACCATCCTGGAGGCCCTCCGGAGGCTGGAAACAGCCCATTTCCCAACTTCTGGTAGGACCAAAAGGCCCAAAAATCAGCTGGCTGGCGCACACGTGTGCTGGAGCTGAGCTACGGCAATGCTCACGTGCCCACTGATACGGCTCCGTGTGCCACCTGTGGCACCCGTGCCATAGGTTCGCCATCATGGTTCTAAGGAATTGGTAATATAAACCTGAAAATAATTTCTTTCACTGCGCTCTGCCTGTTTTCGGTTTACTCCATCTTATATAGGATTGCACAACATTTGAGAAACTAGGAGCACAGTTCAATTCCCCAAACTTCCAAATGCAGCAGGAGGCCATAAGTGCCATCACCAGAAGAAGTGTGACTGAAATCAAAAGTCTCACTTTAAGCAAGTTTTATTCAGTAAAGGCATTATAGAATTGTCAAAGAAAGGATTTGTCCCAATTTTAATTTTAGCAGTAGCAAATAGCACATAGACTTGCATACCACTTCATATTGCTTCATAGCACTCTCTGGAAGGTTTCCAATGTCAGCATATTGCCAACAATCCGGGTCATCATTTTACCGACCTCGGAAGGATGGAAGGCTAAGTCAACCTTGAGCCTCATCAGAATCGAACTCTAGGCTGTGGGCAGTTTGCCTGTGCTGCAATACTGCATTCTAATCACTGCACTACCAGGGCCCGGGGTCTATGACAATTCGTTGCAGGCAACTTGCCACGGCCAACTCACCAGGGCCAACTTGCCACGACTAACTAATATCAAAGAAATGGTAGAACAGAATCGTTAAAGAAATGATGCCAAAGGAGGGACAGAATGAAATGTGAACAACAAAAATTAAAATATTTTTTCATTTATTTTAAATAATTAAATTGAACTGTTAAATTGTCCTGCAATTCCCATGGTGAATTGTCCTGTGGCAAATTATTCCATGGCGAATTGTTCCATTTTGCAGGCAGGGCTCATGTCTATACGTTCGTACTCTACTCTACTCAACTAACTCCCTGAAACAGAACAAACTGGTAGTTTCACATGCCCTGCTTTCTGATGCATAAGGCTACCTTCCTAATCGGGTGCCTGTAGACATGTTGGATTACAGTAAAGGCTGAACTTAAAAGCAGATGCTAGATCAGTCTCCCACAACTCAGTGTTCTAAGTGTTCTTTTTCAAATCTCTACATTATCCTTGGAACTGCTGTAAATGACCAATTAAATCCAAACTCAAGGCACTCACAGCAATTGAACTATATTGAGTGATATATATCCCAAGGACTGTCCAGTCCAACCAAGGAAAGCTTTGTTCTAGTGGGAAAGTTTTGGACAAGGGATATGCCTTTTTGAATTCTTGGGGAGGGGGGGGGAAATAAAATGAAATTTCTTAGCCTGAATGTTTCACAGGGTTAAGATAAAAACAGAGTAATCTTCTGTTTAATGCCGATTAAAGAAAAGACCAAAATATGAATGTAAAACAAAAAAGTCATTTGACAAGAGATAAATATTTTGTCTCCTGGTTTTTTTTTGGTTCCTCCTGCATGGTACTGCATTGTCTACTATATTCATGCTGTCTCAGGTTAATAGTTGTTGACTTTCTTTTCTTGCATTACAAGTTGTCCTTGTTCAATAACACTAACTAGACCAGAATTTCTGTCACTAAGTGATGTGGTCCTTAGATGAAACATCAAGTGATCATACCGCTTAGCAACAGCAGTTTGAGTATTCCCAGTTACATTTCCCTATTAGGCCAAAATTATGTGCCATCATTAGGCCAGGACCCTGCCCTGCTGTGCTTTCATAAGAGCCGTGGTGGCACAGTGGTTAGAGTGCAGTACTGCAGGCTACTTCTGCTGATCACCGACTGCCAGCAGTTTGGCAGATCGAATCTCACCAGGCTCAAGGTTGACTCAGCCTTCCATCCTTCTGAGGTGGGTAAAATGAGGACCCAGATTGTTGGGGGCAATAAGATGACTCTGTAAACCACTTAGAGAGGGCTGGAAAGCACTGTGAAGCAGTATATACCCTGTTTTTCCCAAAATAAGCCCAATCGGGCTTTTGAGCACATGGCAATAAGGCCAAGCACTTATTTCAGGGTTCAAAAAAAAATATAAGACAGGGTCTTATTTTCGGGAAACATGTAAGTCTAAGTGCTATTGCTATTGCTTCTGCTTTCCCAATCCCCTCTCTTTTTGGCCATCCTGCTGTCCACTGCCTCTAGTGTCCATACTATCCCCAGTTAACTTTCGCCATCTTCCTTCCATTGCTGACAAGGCAAACCTAGTCTGGCTCTTAGTGAGTCAGTGGGCTGTACAAGGCCTTGGAAGGCTTCAGAAAGGCTGTGCACAATGAGGAACTGAAGCCAACAAGAGCCCAAGCCAGCTGTTGACTCATCAGCAGCAAGAGGAAGATGACAAAAGTCAGCTGGGGGTGGTAGGTAGGGACAGTGAGTGGAGGGCATCCAAAAGGGCAGCCATGGGGTACAGGCAGGTGGAAAGTCCCATGCAGGTGGGCTGTTGAGTGCCCAAATTTTGGTCACATGACTACAGGGGCACTGTAACGTCTATTATTTCAAGGACCAGTTCCAAATACCATTTCTTCAGCAATGACATAAGTGAGGACCACCTAAATAGGTTACTTAAACATTATTTCTCAAGGGAGTAAGATCACTGCAGCATTGTGTACAATATCTAGATGACAGTTAATGCCTATCAAATGATCTTCTACTCTTAATAATGTTGTTCTTACCTTTAAATGGGTCAGGTTTTGGTTTTGTACCCTCTTTCTCACTCAGCTTCTGTCGGCGCTTCCCAATTTTCTTGTTTCTGTTCACAATGTATTTCTAGGGAATGAGAGTAGACAATATTAAAAATACAAGTTACTGGCCTTAAATTATAAATAAAAGCAGCCCAATAAGATATGTTTTTGCCAACTATATCTCCAGCCTTATGGCAATGCAATCTTCCCAGAAAGATAGTTAATAGTTAAGCAGCAATGTACAATTTCAATTACATTTTTCCAATGAAAGCCTTAGTTACCAGTTATGAAAAAGTACAGCAGAAGCCTTTATAGTGGCTCTAACAAATCATTTATAGCAAAAATAAATTTAGTTTTACAAAAACCCATGAACTAAAATGTGTAACCTTAACATCTTGTCTAATTTGGAAATTTTACTATTTAAATGAGTATTGAAATATTCAGTCTAGATTTTATGTTACTTACAGGTATTTTTAACTGCTTGGAGCGAGTAGTTACAATAAATCTAAGTAACGATAACAATAACAAATGTTTTAATAGTTTTGCACTTTTTTGAATGATTAAATTAATCAAACTGTTCAACAGTGCAGATAGTTAATTGTTTCTAATTATTTATATCATTTTAGGATTTTCTGAAGATATACCTGTAGGAATTCCACTGTCTTATCAGGTAATTTGGTTCCAATGTATCGCAAGACTTCTTTATGAAATTTGCTTTGCAAATGTTTCTCCATTTCTTCATTCTCAAAAGTTCGGAACTTACAGATAGAGCAGGCAAACTGAATTCTACAAGAAACCATTTTGTTATAAAATGCAGTTTCAAACGTATGAAGCATTATGAAGTTAAATTTGTAAATTAATAAATTAAGCACAATTCATCCCATAAATTTGACAAAAATTAAGACCTAATTTAATTTTGAAGTGTTTTCTCTAACATTCAGCCGGCTCTATCCGGATCGCGTGAAGGCTCTGCGCATGTGTGGAAGCGCGCATGAGCATAGTGCTTGCGCTCGCATGCTCACATTTGCGAACCAGTAGTGAAGATAAGTGAATACCACCCCTGAACGTAACATAGCCCTGGTGGCGAACCTATGGCATGCGTGCCAGAGATGGCACGCAGAGCCCTCTCTGCTGGCATGCACGCCGTTGCCCCAGGCCAGATCTCCATGGCATTTCTTTCATGAGCTTCTGTTTCCTTGCAAATGACGAAACAGAAGCTCACGAAAGAAAAAGATCTTACCACTTGCTGCGTTGCTGGTGTTGGGATGCCCCACCTCCCGCCAGCCAGCTGATCTTTGGATCTCTGCTGTGCATGTGCACGTTTGTGCATGTCCACGCATGTGCACACACCTTTCAGTTTGGGCATGCACGTGCAGTTTGGGCACTTGGTGTCTAAAAGGTTCGCCATCACTGACACATAGCATTTTAATAAAGCAAATACAGCATGTATCCGGGTTAAGAATGCCCTGATCTAAGGATGAACCATAGTTAAGAATGGAGCCTACTATAGCAAAATTCATGTTAAATATGAAATGATTCCAAATAAATAGACAAGTTGTTCATTATCCAATACTACTTACATAGTATTTCACAGTAATATTGTTCTGTCTTACATTCACTTTAAGGACAGATCTTGGGAATAGAACTTGTTCTTAAACTGGGAACTCTCTGTAGCACACCCAAAGATTGATGTTGAATTTTCATTTTACCATTATAAAAGAAACAATGTTTTAGCAGTATTTTTTTTCAACAAGACACTATCTTTACGCTCATAGATATTCTTCTGGAAAAACACTGTATTAAGTTCTGTATTACATTCATTTTTATTAAGCAACCCAATTAAAAATACACCTGAATGGTTATGATATCTTTTACTTGATCCTAAACAGCAACATACAAAATACAAAGAGAAAAGTGGCAAACAATTTTTGAACAACCAAAAAATATAAACAGCAGCATTTTAAGGTTTTCCACTTTTTTATATTACATGCATTTAGTCTATACAGGCAATTAGACAAATATAGAGTATGCTTATTATAGAATAAAACTGAATACAAAATCCCAGTTTTAAAACTAGTCGTTTGTCTGTGTTGTATGTGTTTTCCTAATATTTGTTCATAGTATTGAACAATTCAGAACTGAGGATGCTGTTTTTAACAACAGAAGTCCAAACTAAGTTTAATTTAAAATGTTTTTTGACAATTCATTTTAAACATTTTGAGACTTTTTGATTTTAGTGCCACTGAAATTCCTTATTAGAAATATGAAAAAAAAATCAATTGTAGCTTTTAAGTCAAGAACACATTTTTAAAAACAAAAATTTAGAATAATTTGATGCAGTTACATTGCTTATGTAACATTTGATATAACAAGTTTCACCTTTTCCCATGAACCACAGGAAAATAGTTTTAAAAATGTGAAAGTAATGGTAATATAGTATAAATGTTTATTTTGTATATATATTGTATGCTATAGCAAATATTAATAAGAGTTGAAATAATTGCCCTATGAATGGGGATACAATTAAGGAGTTTGAATATATTTGTGGCTCCGTTACATCTATGCAGAAATCTATGATTATTAGCACATACTTAGATCAATTTCTGTATTCCTAAAATATATACCTTATTATCTATATTCCTAGTATTTGTAAACTAGGAATTGTAGATGTATCAAACACCTGACTAGATGATGCTTCAAACCACAAATAACTGACTGACAAGTAAGTCAATCAAAATAGAGTTAACACCATTCCCAACCACCAATCAAATGATATTTCCCAAGAAGCAATAGGCAGTTCCAAGAAGATTCCAGCCTATTTGCACTATTCAGATGACACTATTCAGGGCATAGATAAACCTCCACGAGGTTTCAATAACTCTCAGAAAGAGTGCTAACAACCTGATGACTGCAAGAAATATAAATCCTTCCATCCTCCACCATTCAGCCAGAAATGAAGAAGCTTTTTGGATGAGAAGCAAAACGTCTTCAAGGAAAAACAAAGTCCAGTTGCCTTTTGAAAAAGCACCCTTGCTTATCTAGTGATCTGCCTTGAGTTGGTGGGGTCAAAATCTCCTGCTAAATTACTGCCTATGTAATAGGCTTGGTGTGGGTTTGTTGCATGGTCTAGCCATAGCTGGGCTTAGTACTACTGGAACACAAATGTAATAAGTGTGTCCAGTTATGCTGTTCTGGATGCATCTGTGGTACTCAAGAATCCAAATGTAGTAAAAATGTAGTCTACAAATACAAGAGGCCTATATTATAAGACCTTACAGAAAGATAAATTTCCACAATTACCATCAATGGGGTAAAAAAGACATCAAAATTGCCCATCCAAAGTAGGAAGCCTGCCTCCACAACTATGACGCTTTCTAACAGAAGCAGGGGTGGTCATAAACCCTATAAATACCAAGCAAAACACTCAAAACTATGAAAATGAACAAGCAATGTATTACCATTGTGGCACTCAGAAGACAGTTGGCAGGAGCCTCATTGCTTCATACAGGATGCTGCAAAAAGCAGAGCTCACTCCAAAATCTCAAGCACGGGAACATTCCAGCGCCACAGGCACCAATGTTATATGTTAATCACAGAAATCATATTAAACAATACAGGATATTTTCTTCTGACTATAATTTCAGAAATTTAGAATGTTTTAAACTAGTGATACCTAATCATATGAACATATTATTAATAATACTGAAATAAATATTTTATACCAGAGAAGCACACCACCTCAGGCTTCAGGTTTGCATATATCCCACCAAAGTTTGGATATAAACCATAAAGGTTTCAATAATTGTCAACAAAGTATAATACATTAAAAATGGTAATTAAATAAGTAAATAACTTGAAAATAATTAGTGATATGTAATTATACATTTATCTTTAAATTAGTTTAATTTTTCTCTTCACCACACCTTCTAGATTTTGATATGGAGCTCGGTAAGTACAATCTTATGCAGCCCTACTTTAAACTGATTTTTGTTTTAATTACCTGTCCATTGCACGGTCACGCATTCTATCCCTTTGCCTCTGTTTCTCTTTTCTTTGTTTTGCCTCTTCATCATCATCATCACCGCCATCACCAGTTGCTACAGAAAGTTATATTTAAGAGGCAACATTCATTTGTTTTAGAATGATTTTTTTAAAATTCTACATATTCTCTTTGACCTATATGCTGATAATCTTGTGGGAATATTATTAATAAAAAATTACCACAATTTCATGTCTAATGTAATTTGAAACATTTATTTATACATCATAGACTCAGACACATGTGCAAAGTCTTAACACAAATACAAAGCTGACCTAATTTGGCTAATCTGAAAAGATAAGCTGTTTCAGACCTGTTTAATACCTGGATGGGAGATCACCAGGAAACAACAGGGCTGTTCATTAGGCTGAGAAATCAAAGTAAACATGTAATGAAAGATGGCAGTATAATGTAGTAGTTAAGGTGTTGGACTAGAAGCAGAGAAACCTACACACAGCCAGAGAAAATTTCTAGGTTGCTCTCTCTTTCAGACCAACCTATCTCACAGGATTTTTGTCCAGAAAAACAAATGGGAGGACTTTTTTTTGTGCTATCCTGAGCTTCTAAGTGAAAGACAAGTTACAACTCAGTCATTCAATCTTACTGACAAGGAAAATTACATATTTGAATTTATGATGCCAGTAAGAGCTGAATTTGACTCAAAGGTGCTTCAATTTTAATAAACTAACAACAAATAAAATACTGATTTCAGTTCTTCTGAGGTGTTGCTTACAAGCATTTAAGACAGAACTCACCAACTATTTTGGAACAGTAGGCGCATGTAGAATTTTGAGAACAAGATAGGGAATGTTACCATGGACAAAGTTGCCATTGTAAAAACATTCAATAGCAGTAATTCTCTGGGCACTGCCACTTATCATTTTATTTTCTAAGAGCATCTCTGGGATTTATAGGGGAAGTCAGATATTAATGGAAATATGGATTGTTCCTGAGGCTGATGGTTGTCATCTAATTTTTTTCAATTAAAATAATCTAAAAATATAAAACTTGATGAAGAAAGAAGCTTCCAAGGAACATGTTCAAGGTTTATAGATATCTGGTGTATTATTACAATATTAACCTTCTAGATTTAATGAGGCCATGACCCTGGTTTAGATAAAAAGACTATTACTATATTCTAATAAACTAAAATAAAATCTTGATTGAGCAGACTAATTGAGGGAAAGTGAAATTTGTTATTTGGGAATCTCACTGAATTAAACAGAGGACATTTTGGAGATTTGCATCATTTGTGGATGTCATTATACTAATGACACTATACACAGCAGACATTTGTTTCACTGAATCCAGTTTGTTATATCAAGAGCTGGTAAACCTATGCAAGAATTGTTCAACTTGTATATTTATTCACAATATAATTTATTCAATTATTTTTTTAAAAAATCTGCATTCTAAGCAGGAAAGCATAGATACTAGAATGTTATCCCCAAAGAAATAATAGTAGTTCAGTCTAAAGTTAATTTATGTTTCCAAGTGAAAAGAAACATAGGTCTTTCAATCACATCTATATATCTTACCCTACTTTTTCCTTTGAGAGCTTCATTGCCTCCTTTATACTCCTTTAAAAAAAAAGAAGAAAAAAACAACACATTAATTCTACAGTTATAAATTTATATAAAATGTGTTAACAGTGATTTTTAATATTGATTGAAAAATATTTACCAGAAATACAACTTCTGAAAATTCAACTTTAAAGGCAGAATTTGTAAACAACTTTCTACATGAAGGCCGACAAATAAATAGACTGATTTTATCGATTCAAATATAAACAACATATTCATTTATTTCAACTAGTGATTAAATCCTGCATAGTTCTTCGAACTATAGCCTCTTTTATTTGAAGGTGTATTCATTCCAGCAAGCATTGTACAAATTCAGAAACAAGATAAGCAGCCCATATTTAAAAATTACGGAAAGCGCAATTGGACTTTCTGGGCAGCAGGTAATTCAAAACTAATGGAAGGAAGGAATTTCAGGATTCACACAGGCTCTTTTCAAGCATGCTTTGCAGAGTAAATAATACAATCTGCATTTTTTTTTTTTTTTTTTTTTGCTTTAATTTATATGCCGCCCTTCTCCGGAGACTCAGGACGGCTTACAATGCGTTAAGCAATAGCTTTCATACTTTTGTATATTTAGGTTACATGTAGCACAATTGTCTCATAATTGGATATGACAATGTGGACATGAGATAAAAAGCCTCTTTTCAGATAAATGAACTATGCTGACACTGCTGGTTCTATGCAGACGATGGTAGGCAACCATGAAATTATCTTCACTATTACACTGATTTTCTCAGGAGGCAATAATGCTTGCTGTATCCTACAATGATTTGGCTTCTGGCTGCTAGACAAGCCTTTGCTGACCTAATGAGAGGATGGGAGACAAATATTTTTCTGAAAATGAATTGATGATTGGATTTATATTCCTTTACTTTGTATCATTTTAGATACTGCAGATAATGATACTGTCTCAAGCAGCTGATCCAGCTGTTCTCGCAGTGGCCCAGAGCAACATGGTACAACTTCTTAAGACATTTCACCTCTGGAGACAGAATGATTTTGCATATGACTAGTAGCATTCTCAGAATGCACAAGAATTACAATTCCCAGCAAGCATAATTATAATTATGTTGGTTGGAACATAAGAGTTGTAGCCTCAACGCATCTGGAGGCTGTGCTTGATCATACAATCTTTGAAATTAGAATTCTAGAATAAGAAATTATCCTGTGTGCTATGAAGACCAAATGTTTTCTTTTTAGTCTGCATTGAATTACAGGTAGCCCTTACTTACTGACAGTAATTGGGGCCAGGTACTCCATTACTAAGCGACATATTTAAAGAGCAATGTCATGTGACCTCATCAACATATGATGGCAGTTCTGGATGTCCCACCTGCCATCATTAGGTGAATCATGCACCAATCACACGTGGTCACATTAACACCACTTGCAACCTCTTGCTGGATTCCTCACTGAATTTGTTTGCAAAGTCTGCTGGTGAAGTTTGCAAATAGTGAAGATACGATTGTGGAACACTGTGACATTATTACGAGCCAGTTGCCAAGTGCATGAATTACAATCACATCACCGTAGAGACAGTGCAACAATCACAATAAGGACCAATTGTAAACCCGCCCGGGCTCCTCGTTCAGTGCCAGAATCACTTTGAACAATCGCTGAACAAGTGGTTAAATGAGGACTATCTATATATTTTGGGGGTATTAAATCTCTAAGAAACAAAATCTTGAAAGAAATAAAAATGGAAAATTGCACTGTTATAATTGTAATTGTTTTTGAAACTGCATATGGCCCATGATGAACATACTGTATATTATTCATATTTGTTCTATGAATAGAATAACTCATACAAAATTTATAATAGTTTTAGCTTCAAAGACATGTCAGAAAACAACCATTTACAATAGTTTTTCTCTTATTTGGGAAAGACACTTACACCTTTATCTCCTTCATCTGCTGACTTTTCTTCTTCACCATCATCTGTCAATACACAAGATATAAAACCACTGTAAATGTATGGCTTCTATTCTTCAACAGTCCAAACAACAATATCAGTTTAAAGCAATAGTACCGTTATTTCTCACTCACTGATTAACAACTGCACAAGATCTCTTTTCTGAACTGAGTAGAGCCTGAGTGGCGTAGGATGCTAATGCCTCCTAAGGCAGCATTTAACATCCAGCTGCCTGCAATTACTGCGAGTTCAATTCTCCCCAGGCTCAAGGTTGACTCAGCCTTCCATCCTTTCTAAGGTGGGTAAATTGAGGACCCAGTTTGTGGGGGCAATAAGCTGACTTTGTATAAATATACAAAAGTATGAAGGCTATTGCTTAACGCATTGTAAGCCGCTCTGAGTCTCCGGAGAAGGGCGGCATATAAATCAAATTAAAAATAAAATAAAATAAAAACTATTTTTTCATCTAGATATGAAAAATTAAAATTATTAAAAAATGACTAAATTATATATAAAAAAGTGATGTGAATTCCTGAGTTTCAGAGAAGCATTTCTATTGAATGTGGATGTTGCCAAGGTATATTATAATAGATTAGAAGCTAGGTATTAGGTCAGCAAATAATGCATCCAGATCTCAAAATAAATTGAATGTTTACCATTGTCAGAGTCATCTTTTTCACTTTCTGTCTTTGCCTGCTTGCTGTCAGGTTCCTCTCCACTTTGGGGTTGTTTCCGCTTGTATAACCCGCCTTCATTATCTGAACGCCCACCCAGACGACCACGAAAAGCTCTCCTCTTGGGCTAGGGACAAGTTGAACAAAACATTCTTGGCCCAGTTATTGACACCAGCAGTGTACCAGAGAAGATTTTAAGAATGCTTCTTGCTATTCCTTGCTGACCCTATCAACATCATTTCCAACAAAAAATTAAAAAATTGCAAGGAAAGACAAAAAATAAGCTGGTATGCATTTGACAAAAAAAATGATAAGACTATCACAATTTTCTTAGTTAGTAAAGTAATCTCATTTATAGTTATTAAAGTAGTTATGAGAGTACCCAGTATTAGCATGTTAAACTTACTCTGCCACGTGTTCTGCCGAATCCATAGGGCATGTTCCCAGGAATCCTTCCCATTCCTTGCATTCCCATCATGCCATAATCATAATCCCCATAGTTGCCATACTCTCCATAGTCGCCATAGTCTCCATAATCACCATAATCCCTATACTCAGGGACAAGTGCTCGAGAAAAGAGTGATGGAAGCCTGTTGGGTCCAGGTCCTCCCATATTCCTCCCGCCCATGTAATTCATTTCATTCCAGTGTGTAGACAGCCGTTCTGTACTTGAGGGCATGAAGTGGTCACGATTGAAAGTATTTGGACGACCTCGATTTTGGACCCTCCCTCTAACAAAACCATAGTTGTTTCCTCTGTTACCAGGTTGATCTCTGCGGTTACCAGGACCATCATAGTGACTTCCAAAAGTATCATTCCGATCTAATCCAACTTCATTATAGTCATAGCTGGTTCGGTACAGATCGCGGTCAGGAACTGCGGCTCTAGAGTCGTATGATTCAAAAGACTCAAATCTGAAAGAGCTGTATCACAAGTAAAGAATCCAGTCAGTAACTAGGAGAGATATTAAAGAACTACCATTTCCCATGTTGGGGATGTCAGTTTAGTTGTAACAATAGAGTCTATTGAGCTGAATATCTGTCATACATGCAGAAATCCACAGCCATCACTCCTTGACAGGTTGTGAAATAGTTAGGCTAGGAATGAACTACACCTGCAAGCCCAGAGCCTCTAAGCATTCAGAACTGGTAACATGGGCAAAGCAGATCCATCATCTGATGTATTGCATAACAGTTTTAGACCCTTTATAAGATTTATGAGTAAATACTCCATGTTTTTATCAGGCGCTCATGGCAGTGAGACTTTGAAGAGACCCAAACTCATTGATAGCCTCACATTGCAATGAACAAGGACATACAATCAATTTCGCAGCTGCTAAGATAGTTGGTCATGCAATTACAAAGATAGCCAGGGAAGTGATTGAAGCCTGGGAAAGGGGGCCCCTTGTCAGTCAACAGGAGTGCTGAACCAGCTTATCAAGTACTTAGGAGCCGAGAGATTGGCAGACCAAGGAAACAACAGCCAACTGCCAGCCATTAACGCACCAACCAACCAATAGGAAGGCACCACATAAATACAACTCATAGAGCACCCCAAAGCACGTATTCCAATAGAGAGAAATTCCCTGAAGATGTTATAGCACAAGTCTAAAAGCTTGGAAGAGTAAACCTCTGGTCCCGGTGACTGACTCAGACTGGATCTTGCTCAAGGCAGTATACAGAACACTCTATCTCCTCATTTCGCCCCACAACTATCCTGATAGGTTGGACTGAATGTCTTGGCTTTTTGGAGGTGTGTGTGTGTGTGTGGTGTGTGTGTGTGTGTGTGTGTGTGTGTGTGTGTGTGTATGTGTAATTTTCTTAGCAATATTTTTGGAAGTGTTTGGTCTTCCCAGGGGTGAAAAGAAATGATTGGCTTAAGGTCACCTAGCTGCCTTCATACGTAAGGCGGGACTAAAATTTAGCTTCCTGCTTTCCAGCCTGATATCTTAAAACACTGTAACAAAATGGCCCATCAGTTATTTTACTGCAAAACTCAAGTCTTAAAAATTGATTAAAAAATAAAATTTAAATTACCTTCCCTGATCTTCCATGCCTTCTCCAGCATTGCCACTGTTTTCCTTTGATAGCATATCCAAACGCTGGTTTATTTTTGCTATGATGGAATCAGAATTTTCTGCCTCCATTGTTCCAGTATTGTAATTTACAACTGGCATACTAGTACCCATTGTCATATCAGAAGCTTTAGAAGTATTCCAGGTAGTTGGGGGAACAGTAGCATCATAGTTATATGTGGGACCTGTGGTAGTATTACTGGCTTGGGCACCATAATAATCATAACCTTCATAACCTGGTTAAAAAAAAGACAAGTATAGGTTGCACAATCAGCAAAAACAGAACCTAAAATCTTGCACCTAAATGGAAACCAACTCCACATCAAAAATCATACACACCTTCAAATACAACAGACAGAAATATTTATTAGCTTAATGCTGTTCGTTGTTTTAAGACCAGGGTCTGTGTTAAATGATATTTCCATAGATGTACAGTATGAGGTAGAGATGATACTTTTAAAAATATAACTATCACAGAACTCTCATAAATGTTCATAAAAGAACATGCATAGCTTTTTGAAAGGAATTCAAAAGTAATGTTTGAAAGTATTTTACAGAAAGACTAGCGGAAGCTTGGAGCCAACTTCCAGTAGAGGTAGTGAGTCAATTACCAGTAAATGAGTTCAAGCATGCTTGGAATAAACATGTATCTATCATCCGACAAAAATTCATAAATAAAAATAGTAATAATAAAATAAAAAAGTAAAAATAAATAATTAAAAATAATAAATTAATAAAATGAAAACAAAAATGAAAAATTCAAAGGGCAATCTCGATAGACTACTGGGTCTTTTTCGAGCATCAGTTTTCTGTGTTTCTAAGGATAAAATAAAAAATTATAAACTGCAGTGGACCAAAATATGTCCAACATATTTTGATGGCCCCTATCAGACTTGTCACACCAGAACTTTTAAAATATTATTTTAGTGTAACAAAATAATCATATTTATTTGGAGCAATATTTATGGTCCCATATCAGTTTCAATGATTTGATTTGATTGGACACACAAGGAACTTGTCTTTGGTGCATATGCTCTCAGAGTACATAAAAAGAAAAGATACATTTGTCAAGAATCATAAGGTACAACACTTAATGATGGTCATAGGGTACAAATAAGCAATCAAATCATACTAGGGAACAATATAAATCGTAAGAATACAAGCAACAAAGTTACAATCATTCAGTCATAAGTGGGAAGAGATGGGTGATAGGAACTATGAGAAGATTAATAGTAATGCAGATTTAGTGAATAGTTTGACAGTGTTGAGGGAATTATTTGTTTAGCAGGGTGATGGCGTTTGGGAAAAAACTGTTCTTGTGTCTAGTTGTTCTGGTGTGCAGCGCTCTATAGTGTCGTTTTGAGGGTAGGAGTTGAAACTATTTATGTCCAGAATGCAAGGGGTCTGTAACCTCTTTTTGACTTGTGCAGTATACAGGCCCTCAATGGAAGGCAGGTTGGTAATAATTGTTTTTTCTGCAGTTCTAATTATCCTCTGAAGTCTGTGTCTGTCTTGTTGGGTTGCAGAACCAAACCAGACAGTTATAGAGGTGCAGATGACAGACTCAGTAATTCCTCTGTAGAACTGTATCAGCAGCTCCTTGGGCAGTTTGAGCTTCCTGAATTGGCGCAGAAAGAACAATACCTTAGGGGCATAATGCACCTTTTGACAAATCCAGTAGATGATGGGTCTGAAACTTTCCTGGAACCCACTGCCACACCTTCCCTTTGCCATCTTCCCACCACCACCATCACTTTAGAATGCTTTCCAAATGATTTATCTCATAATTCTGCACTGAAAATTGCAATTTTTGAAAAGGATGCCTCCTTGTTGTAGTTCATTGAGATTATTTTACTATTAATACTTTGGGACAGAGTTCAAAATGAGAAAGACATGGATTTATGTAGCTTATATAAGTAAAGTGGATGTCACTTTATTTCTTAAAAAAAAGTGGGGAAATGTCTCAGATCCTCTTTCAGTGAAAAGCAAAACTTTGGAAAAGTAAGCAAAACACATACCTTGCCAACTTCCCATGTTCGTGGCATATGTACCTTAGTGAGACACAGAGACAAAGTTTATTTTTATCTTAAATACATCAAGTTTTTTTAATTAACAAATGTACATAGCTACTCATCTATCCAAAGAACAGAAATAAATATTTCAACTCAAATGTATATATCAATTAAAAAGAAATGAATAAAAATCCATTATTAACACACTCAACCACACCATACTAGGACCAAATGCCACCAACATTATTTTGACTTTAGAGCCTGGGAAATTGCCAATATTCACAGGCTAACAGGTCAGTGCTATTTGTAACTCCAGAGGGAGGCTGTATTATAAATTTTGCTTTGTCTTCTTGTGATGCTCTAGGCATCTGTTATGCTGCTTCATCTCCTGGTTCCTCTGAAAACCAGGGAGCTCTCCAAGATAAACACACATAGAGAATCTGCATAAGCTCTATGTGGTCTAAGGCAGGGGTCCCCAACCTCTGGGCGATGGCCCAATAGTGAGCTGTGAGCTGTTTGCAAATGGCAGATGAGTGTGCACACATGCTCATCTCCACTTGCACAAGCAGGTGAGCGTGTACACATGTGCTCCAATTGCATGAGTGGCAGGTGCGTGTATATACCACTCGTGAAAATGAAGCTGCGTGCGTGCTTGCCGGCCATTTGTAAAACCATCCCCTCCCCACCCTGCTGATCCATAAACCCAGAAAGGTTGAGGAATTCTGGTCTAACTGGGCTTTCTTTCTTGCAGTGGGAATAGCTTGGAAAATTCACATTAGAATAAGTATGAAGTTATTTTTTGTATCCCATGGCAAAAATTTAGCATTAATATTATATATTAGACAGATCAGAAATTAACACTAGATTAGAATTAGTGAAACAAATTATTTCACAATCTTCCTATATAAAGGATATTAAATGATTCATGTCAAGAAGCAGCTGAATATTTTTATTTTATATAAAATCAGTGCTCTAATTTATATGAATTCTGATAGAAATTAGTACGATAGAAAACTGATATAAACTATATTTAATCTAATAAACCCAAAAGGAAATTAATATCAGTATATGAGATTATTATGGTGAGTTCAATTCTCACCAGGCTCAAGGTTGACTCAGCCTTCCATCCTTCCGAGGTAGGTAAAATGAGGACCCGATTTGTGGCTCCTGACTTTGTATAAAATAGAACACCGTTTAGGGGCCCCCAAAAAGCCCTACTAAGCAGGTATATACAAAAGTATGAAGGTTATTGCTTAAAAGCATTGTAAGCCGCCCTGAGTCTCTGGAGAAGAGCGACATATAAATCAAACTAATAAATAATAAATAAATAAATAAATATGCCTGTGAAAATATTCTGCTATTGAAAACCCATGCTATTAATATTATTATTTTGTGACTCAGGTTTAAAATAGGGTTATAATCAACTTATCAGTGTAGCTATATTTATTTTCTTACCATGAGTATTGGTGTTGTCAGTACCCCAAGAACTATATCCTGTAAAAGAAAAGTTTAACATATTAATAAATTTAAAAACTCAATATATTTCTAAAGATTTGCTCTGTATCTTTTATATCCATTCAGAGGTTTATCTTCAATATATTTTGTGTATTTGATAGGAACCAAACCTTTGGGAAGTTGTGTGTTTTCCATTGCTACCAATAAAATAGGAAAGATAGAAGTCAGGCCAAATGCCAAGGTTATACACACTGACTTACATTTTGTTCCATTCTCTGGAACTAATTCTGAAAGCAACATTATACATGGCCTACAAAATCTTCTTAAGCAAACTCTTATTAACCAATCATGCTTTCCAAATAATTAGTAGGAATTAAGGGTTATCTGAATTCAACTCTTTCAAATGTGTAAACTAAGAATACTGAAATATGGAAGATTTTACTTAAAAAAGAATTTAGGTTCATATCATACAATACAGAGAAACAAATCCTTATCTGGAACTAAGATTTCTTATGAAAAGAACCAGAAACCCTTCTGAAAGGGAGCAAAATAAACAATTTATTTTATACTAAATGAATATTTCAGAAAGGAAATACTTGAACATATAAAGCTATCATTACATACTTTGTGGAGTCCTTGGTTGTTTGCTTCCAGGTATTTCATTACCTGACTAGGTAATATTTGCAGTGTGGGGCGTACTCTCTGTTTATGTACAATAGCTTTTCCTGCCAGTGTTGGGAAGGCTGTTGTTTTCTCCTTGGCAGTTCATTAGGTATTATTTTCTGCCTGTCTGCCTGGTATTAATCCTCATTTATCTGAATGTTGGTTGTTACGGATGATGGGGTTTTGTTTCCTTCTTAGCTTTATTTTCTTGTCCATACAATTGTTATTTTATTGTCAATACCCTAATCATGGAACTACCAAAGAGAAAACCACATCGGCACCAACACTGGTAGAGCAGCCTATTTTACATAAACAGGGAGCAAACCTGATACTCATTAGCACTGATGTTACTAATTGGATAATGAAATGTTTGCAAGCAAAGGACCAAGCTCAAAGAACATCAAGGACTCCAGAGTTCAACCCTGAGCTAAATCCAAAGTTCAACCCTGAGCTAAATATATTATCTTCTATTGGATTATGTACTTTATGTAACACAAATCAAGGCAATATGCTAAATAAAATTGCAACAGAATTGTGACACTGACATTTTCTATAAAAAGAATAAATCAATTTCTTCTGAGAAATTAATAACTGATTCCTATGTATATTCAAAATGCAAATAGTTATAAACACGACTATAAAAATTACTATTTTATAGGTGTACTCTTTTAACATTTGGTTCTCATCGAAGTACTTCAGAACATTAAACTAGCAAGCAATCATGTCCTATTCTTGGAGACTGCCAAGACAAATCCCTGCAGATTTCTAAGTAAAGTATTTTTGAAGTTGTTTGAAATTGCCCCTTTCCTAGGGCTAAGAAAAAGTGACTAGCCCAAGACCATCTAGTTGGTTTTGCGCCCATGGTGGAACTAGAATTCATGGGGAGAGTGTGTATATACACAAATATATAGGAGAGGCAGCAACCCTCTCTTGGTCTTTTGAAAAAGAGTTAAAACATGGCTCTGCAGCCCCATGCCCACAGGGCTGGCATCCTGAAAACCCTCCCTTTACCTTTTTAACTAATTTTCAACAGAGTTCAATCATTCTTGCCTACTTTTAAATTTCAATTTTTTTAAATTTTAAATTCCTATATGCTGTTTTATATGTTAACGTTTTATTATATACTGCCTCAAGTACTTCTCTGAGAAGGCAATTCTCAGAGCAATTCTGAGATAGGCAATTCAAAAATCAGGCAATTCAAAAATGTGAATTCTATCATATATACACAGGGTGCATACACATACATTTGTTGCATTCTCTGGTATAACTATATTAGTTGTTACAAAAGAACATCACTAAAATTGTCATGTAACAAAGAAATGGAAACAGTAGCAAGATTGAGAATTCTGATTTTCTTACATTTTTAAACCCTTCTAGTCATTATATAGTATCATATAGTATCTTATAACACAGAATACCTGACATCTTGGATTTCAATATTTAGCTAGCATCACCACTGACAAGTTTGTGGAAGCTGTAGTACAAGCATCTGGCAGGGACCCAGGTACTTGCTGTTGCCTTGGATACTAATCGGGGTTATTATGGTATAATGATTTCTACACTAGAGCCCATTTTATCAGATGTTAAGATTCCACTTTATAGGGGGATTAAGTTTAGCATTCAAAACTACCATGAGTACTAAAAATATCTAGTTATTCAGAGTTTCATAGGAAATATCATTGCTTCTATATTCATGCTATACCTGTTTTATGTACAGTACTACTATATCTACAAGATCTGAAAACACTTTTGACAGAATGAAAGATGACTTAATAAAGCTGAAGGTTATCCTCTGATCTAAGCCTAAGAAAAGCAATAATGTACACAGATATTCCTAAATTACATTAAAAATGTATTCCCTTTTCTCCCTTGGTGTATTTTCCTCCTCCCTCTTTAACCAGTCATACTGTTTACAAATAAAACATTTTAATAAATACCCTGACATTTTAAAACAAAAAGGCTATATATCTGCACAATACTCACAATGAACAATTTTCTAGTTTGACAAAATGCACTGTACCATAACTCAACCACACAAGTTGAGTTCAGTCAACTCGCTAGGCTACAATGCAGCCGGCCAAATGTGCAACTCAGTGTCTGGTATCACCAACGAAGTCAATATACCACTTGCTATCATTATAAATGTCACAGAGCCCTCAGACCGTGGGTTTCCCCACTGCTCAGTTGAAGCACTCTAGTATTTATTTATTCATTCTTGAACCCTTCATTCTATTCTGCCTGAATTCCGAAATGATAAACAGCAAAACCGATATTACACTCCTTGGGTCTATTCTCGGAGTGTGTGAAAACAAGCCCCTAAATCAGGGGTCTGCAACCTTAAACCCTCAAAGAGCCATTTGGACCCATTTCCCACAGAAAAGAAAACACTGGGAGCCACAAAACCCTTTCCGCGCCTGACTTTCTTGAGCAGCCACAAAACTAACATATGTAGTTGAATTAAACGTTCAGTTTTCTTCTGAAACTTTTCTTTTCTTGGATTTATCCATGGTTGGCCTACCGGGGGTGAAAAGCTCAATAAATAATGTGCCGGCGGGTGTCGCACATTGGCAGTTGTCATGCATATTTTGAGTGACAGGAAGCCACAGCAGAGGGGTGAAAGAGCCACATGCGACTCCAGAGCCTCATGTTGCTGACCCCTGCCCTAAATGCTACTTTAGCACTTAGGGCTGGGACAAGATGGGACCTGATAAAAAAAACGATGTGGCCAGGCAAGTTTGTTCTTCCTGACAGTTAGAACAATTAATCAGTAGAACGACTTGGCTCCAGAAGTTGTGAATGCTCCAACACTGGACGTTTTTAAGATGATGTTGGATAACCATTTGTCTGAAATGGTATCGGGTCTCCTGCCTGAAAGGGGGAGGATTGGACTAGAAGACCTCCAAGGTCCCTTCCACCTGTTGTTATTCTGTATTCGGAGATAGGTAAGAAAGCAGAGGATGGCCTGTGGACACTCTTACTGGGCATGTTGGCAATGCCTAACACCCTGCGAGGAGGGTTGTGAGGGACGTGAAGGGGGGGAGCGATTACGCCCCTGCCTGCCTGTCATTTTTTTTTTGGCTGGCTGGCTGGCTATGGAAATACAACGCGGGCCAGGATGAGCTTTTCGACCGACCGGTCCGCTTCTTCTCCAGCCAGAAGCGCCGTCGGCAAAGAGGCGAGATCCACGAGCCACTGTTTACAAACGGGAAGGCATCGATCCCCTCGGCAGGAAGGAAGGGAGCGCCATCGCGAGCAAAACTTCCTCCACGCCATTTTGTGTCGTCTTTAGAAATAGGACTTCGGTCCTCCTTTCTCGCTCGGTACTGCAAAGGGTGGGGGGGGGGGGGGGGGGGTGGGACTGTAAACTCGAACCCTCCGCCTCGCTGGCCAAGTAGCACTCCAGTCACAAAGCGGAAGGTGGGTGAGGGACAAGCGCAAGGTCCAATCACCGCTGCCAGCGCCTCTCCGAGAAAGAAGGCACCGACACCGGGGGGGCTCCGCGACCCGCAAGCGCTGCTACGTCATTGAGAAGAGAAACCGGTTCTGTCAAAGCCCGAAGTTCTCCTTACATCCATCCATCGCCGCCGGTGCCTTCCCCGGCAGGACTCACCGTAACTTTGATCCATGGCTTCGCTCGTCGTCCTACCTCCCCACTACGAACAGTTTACCCACCACCCGACTGCGCGAGCGCCATATGCCGCCAGAGATTGGCTTCTGCCTCTATTCCTGAAGTTCGATTGGCCGGGCGTTTAAACTTCACAGCGTCTGTTGCTCCCGCCTCCCCGTATGAAGGTCGTTCCCATTGGGTCGTTCGTTAGCTTATCCGTCGCTGGACATCTACGTTCTACGCCTTCCGATGCCCGGAGAACTTTCCTATTTGCAGCTGAAGCGGCTTGTGAAGCTAGACAGATTTCCGGTTCCCATTTCTGTCGATAAACTTCCAATGGGAGGGGCGGCCAGTGCTCAGAAACGTTCAGAGGAGCAACAGTACAGGAAGCAGGGCGGGCTGAGGTTCGCTTTTATTACTTGCGAATAATTAAGGACGCCGCTAGAAGATAATTTAGCGGCTTCAGCTTTCTTGTCTGGATAGAACAGTGTTTCTCAACCTTGGAAGCTTGAAGATGGGTGGACTTCAACTCCCAGAATCCTCCAGCCAGCGCTGCTGGCTGGGGGATTCTGGGAGTTGAAGTCCACCCATCTTCAAGCTACCAAGGTTGAGAAACACTGGAATAGAACCTCGAGGGCTTTAGATTCTAATCTTTTGCTTTACGGGGCGGAGGGCAGGCTGACGTTTCTCTGCGTCAAGTCCACGTGTCTTTTTGTATTGCTGGGAGTTTGGGCTAATAAGCTCTTATCAAAAGTCTCTCGTTATTTTGCCCACTAGCACTTTCCCTTTCCCTAATCCTTTCCTTGTTTGGTGGGTCCAACACCAAATGGGGTTTGTCATCTTTTATTTTTGTCTCTGTTCACTCTCTGCCCCGTAAACTACTGCACGACATTTGAAAGGAATTCCGCGACCATGTTCTTTGCAATGAAGTTCAGGATGTGGTGCAGAAAATGGGCTGAGGAAATGTCAGGCGAGCCCAGCCTTTTTCTAAATAATTTTCTCTGTAGCTCCAGTGTTCGACACCCTCCCCCCTCCCCCAAACTCCTCTTGAAGTGTGCTGCAGTAGGAAGTGCCTGGATGCAGGTGCTAATTTTTGAAACTACTTTCTGCCTGTTTCTAGCCCCACTTATATGGCTAGGGAAGCATTTTATTAACTCTGTTATTCATGGAAAATGCCTTATACTGCGTAGGACTGTTGGTCAACCCTCTTCTAGCTTTGTTCAAACTAACTGGCAATGGCTCTCCAGGATTCCAGGCAAGACGTTCTCATGGGAGACATCAAGCTTTGTAAAAATACATATGCAGTATCTACAGTACAAAAATCCAAAACAGTCTTGTCTCCATCTGTCACTAAAAACAGTTTATCAACTGGTGTTGTAGCTAGTGATTTAACATCTTAAAAGGATTGTCACTGACAATATTGGTATAAAATATAATAAATCTTGTTGGACAGGCTCTAAGGATTGGGAGGCACCATTCTGTTGGCCATTCTCTGGCCAATACTAGTTATGTGGGGTGCCTCAAGAGTTTTCTCCCCTCATCTTTCTCCCCTCCTATCTAACATCTCAATGGAGCTGTTGGGAGAGGACATCTGGTGGTAGGTTTGGTAAGCTGATAATATCCCATTTATCTATTCCATGTCAGGTCAAGTGATGCTGTTCAGGTGCTGTAAAGGCTTGGATGAGGAGAAACTAGTTGTGACTCAAACTGAGCAAGATGAAGTGGTTTCTTGTCAGGGTGAAGAGAGTTGACATCTCTGATTCTGGATGGGGACCTCACAGAGATCTGATGTGAAATTTGGGAGTCCTCCTGGACTCATGGTTCCTGCTGGAATAGCAGGTGGCAGCCGTGGCCAGGGAGGCTTTGTATAAATTCATTTTGTGAACCAGGCCCATTCCTGACCCAGAAGGCCTTGCTCATGGTCACTTACAACATAGGTTTAATAGTGTGGGAAGCCCCCCTCCCAGAATAAAATATTCTATAGAATATTAAAAAGAGGCAGAATAGAATATTTCCCCTAAAGGAGAAGAGGAGAAAAATCTCCTAACAAAGGCAGAAAGTAGCCCGTCTCTCTGCTATAGGAAAACAGCTTCAAGCAGAAGCCTGAAGAGGCTAGGCTTTTTGAATGGATATTTTCTATCCATAAAACCAGGCCATTCTATTCATAGACAAAGGGCCGCCAGTAACTCCAAATAAGCAGCACAATAGGCAAGGAGATGAAATTGACAAGATTAGCTCAGACAAACAAAACAGGATTTGCTTTTCCCCTTTTGCATGTAGAGCCAGTCATGACCTCATAGGAATCTGGCAACAGCCATTAAATATTAAAGGACATATTCTTGCACAGGAACAGGTGTCTCAATCACAAAGCCCCCCCAAATTGTCTAAAAGCACATCTACTCTCAATCCCAATTTGTCAGCTGTGTCACTGTTGTTTCTAGCTACCTCCTTTCTAAATGCAAGCTTCCTCCGATTCATTTCTCCTTCACCTTTCTCCCAGCTTGGAATAAGAACCGGACCAGATTTTACTTCCAATAACAGCTCTGAAAGAATACTACATTTGTATTTGTTTCTAAATAAAACAAAATTTTTACTTGAAAGAATAAGTCCTATGTTGCATTTATGATCATTTTAACAAGGGTTTGTTGCTATTGTTGGTTGTATCACCAATGAATATATTACAGATTTTTCACTGCTTCTAACAAAAGGTTTTGTGTGGGTTTTAATTATTTTTATTATTTATGTGCATGGTTACATTACCTATTCAATAGACTATCTCCAGATACTGTCAGCCAGATCCATTCACTGCTAGCACTGTCATTTTTCTGCAGCACTGGTTGAAGACAGATCTCAGTCTTTAACTGTCCCTCCTGCTTTATTCTATGCAACTCCTATGTGACTGCAATGTTATCTGCCAGGTTATTTTGGGACACAAGTGTAGTGTTTATAGAAGGGCATTACAGTTCTGATCAAAAATACCCTCACTGAAAGGAAACAGGAACAGAACAGCTCAGTATGTGCAGCTTATTAGCCAAATTTAGTGACTACCATTAATCAGGCATCCCAAGCACCTACATCCATCTGTCAATCATTAATGAAATTGGTGGTTCTAATAAAGGAGAATATTTGTAGCTCAGGGTTGACAAGATGTCCTTGGTGCTCTCTGAACTTGCTTGTTTTCGTGCAGAGGTTTCATTATTCAAGCTAGGTAACATCATCAGTACTAGTAAGGAGTTTATATTCTAGTAGCTTGCCCTGTCAATGTTGGTGAGGGATGGTCTTAGACAGTGGTGAAATGTAAAATTTGTTACTACCGGTTCTGTGGGCGTGGCTTGGTGGGGGGGTTTAATGTGATTGGGTAGGCGTGGCCAACATTTTTTTTAACTTTTAAAAGCATTTTTCTACAACCTTAAAAGGTTGTAGAAAAAATGGTTTTAAAAGCCTCTGAAGATCCCAGCTGAGCAATCATCAGAGGCTTTTTTTTTTTTTTACTTTTAAAAGCATTTTTTCGGCCGAGAGGTGGTAGAAAAAATGCTTTTAAATTTTTTTTTAAAAAAAGCCTCTGATAATCGCGCGGCTCAGCTGGGCATGGGGGGGGCAGGGATTTTTGCTACCGGTTCTCCGAACCACCCGCCGCCATCGCTACCGGATCGGGCGATCTGTTCCAAACCGGGAGCATTTCACCCCTGATCTTAGAGATTCTTTGATTGAGCTGTTTGCTGTTGACTTTTTTGGGAGTTTCTTGATTGGGATATTGTTTACTTGATTGTTGATCTGATGTTAACCCTGCAGTTAATCTAAGATGATCTGGGTGCTGATGCTGGTGGAGAGGTGCTTGGATCATTTTGTTCCTTTTTTGGCTGGTTGATTGTCTCCAGGGAATTTCTAGAAGCCTGACACTTTGACAAACCAACCACCAATAGACACATAGACATTAACATCTATAGACTATGCAAAAGAGATTATCACCCAGTCCAAAAAGGATGTTACAGCAAACTGCACTCCTTACTAGCACTGATGATGTTACCTGGTTTGGGTAATGAAACCTCTGCAAGGAAACAAGCAAGGTCAGAGAGACCAAGGATATCTCAAATTGGTGGTTATTTTCCCACTAAGGTGACATTAAGTGGGAGGGGAAATAAAGTCAGAAGAAGCCACCAAACCTTTTTCTTAATTTGTCCTACATTAAGGCAGTAAGGATAGCACTTGCCAAGTTAATTATCGAAGTAGAACAGAGATTGATGACAAGGGGAGCACAAATTGTTAGCAATAAAGGAACTTGTTGCACTATTAAAGCTAAAACCTGTAATAATAATAAAAATGCTCATAGACTGAAGGAAAGCACTTTATGGCTGTCTGGATGCGCCCTTTACCTTTTTAAACAATAATGAAATCTGAGCAGGTGGTCCTATAAACCTTTGCAGATTTGAAAAGCAAAGCAGGATTAACCCTGGTTAATATTTGAATAGAAGAATGTCTGACTCTAGGGCTCACTAGATTGAGAAGGCATAAAAACATCTTAGAAGGTGGTAGTTATCAGATCACTTCTATAATGCTGTCAAGAAAACTGCCGAAATGCAGTCATCAGGAGTTAAGTTTAAATTGATTTAAAAATGTATATACAGAGAGAATCATGAAAAATACAATTTTAAAAACAATTGATGTGCAAATTTAGTATTTCATACACGAACACAGTCAATAACATTCAAGCAGAAGAGAAACTTGTGCTGCAGCAGTGACAGAAGATGAGATGAAATTATTCTGCTATGTAACTATAACATAAGAATATTTATATTGTTTATAAAGAAAGGCATTGATGCTGGCATTCTTCTCCTATGCAGAGATAAAAATTATAGTATGTGTTATATGGAAGTAGGAGTAAAGAGAGTACATTTATACAATGAATAATTTTTCAACAATTGTAATTAGAGACAAAAACAGTCTCTTGGTTATCTGGCCTAGGAGAACACCACAGCTTCTGGAGAATTGCTGCTCCAACAATCAGCTATGCCACTATAAACTCTTTCTTCTCACTCTGTAATCAGCTGAGACAGCCAAATCTTTCTCCTCACTCTGTAATCTGTCTTGCTGCTCTACCATGATTTACGTTTTGGTCTCCTTTTTAACAGTTTTTTTGGACCAATTCCAGAAATATGACCTTTTTAACCTCTTTTCTCAAGGTTTAATTCATCAATTTCTCAAGTGCTTTTCTACAATTGTCAGACTCAATTAAAACAATATAGGCAAAGTAATTTTAACATTAACTTTATAATATTGCAAAAGAATGGGTGCATTCTTTTGCAAATACCATTCTGCTTGTGGTTGAAATATCCACAAGCAGAATGGTATTTTTAAAATCACTTTTGCCTTGCCTGTTTAATAACGAAAAGCACATCTTTGCTTAAATCCACAAAGCTTATTATGTCAATCACTGATTTTTTTCCAGTTTTCTTGTAAGATAAAATTTTAAAGCCTTTTCTTAAGTCACTTAAGTCATAGGAAAACACTTCCTGATATCAAAAATGTATGAACCTTGAGCTATTTGTTCAGTGACAGCTAATTACAATATGTATTCTGTAATTCATAGGAAAAAGGTATTACAAATATTTTCTTATTTATTACATTTTTTCATTCAGAATCTAATAGTTGAAGAACATTAACACTTTACACCAATATGAATTGAAATTCTTATGTGACTATCAAAAGTGCATAAAAGAAAATTATTCTACCATTTCAGTTATAGTCAGCAAGCAAAACAAACTGGTTATTGTAATATCTCTTTTGAAGTTAAGAAAGCCACGGACAAATAAAAGCACATATAAAGTTTATAAAGTTGGGCTATTGACTCTTCTCTTCCACCTTTCAGGCTTTATATGCCCTCAAATTTTGTTAAGGAATATTTCTAACTATCTGGACAAATTAGGTAAACAAGCAAAAGATTTTAGTGGGGCAGATTACATTGATCTTCCATGTGCTCCAACAGAAGAAATTCTGCCAGGAATGTGTAACTCCAGAGACTAGAATAGGGCAGACTATTTCTTTGATTCTATCAACAATACCAGTTTTGCAACAATACATAATATAACAGCTCAATAATTTCTTAACTTTGAGTACAATTGTTTCGAAATGTGCTTTTGAACTCTCCAGATTGCAATTTAGAAAACAGTTCTAATCTAATAACGGTTCCACAAAACAATTATAGATACCTTAAATAGCTACTCCTACATGAACAAAAAAGGGCTCAATATGCAATGTGGAAACCCATGGCCAGATCCTATACATATATATTTAGGAAATTCCTGAATATCTATTTAATTGAATAGTCATAGTTGCAATCATCTGCCTATGTAATTTGGAATAAAATCAGTAATTACAGTAGCATTTTCTTTCAAGTATACAGATTCTAATTTTCAAAAGGCAGAAAAACTGAGTTATCATCATATTATCTTATTATTATGTGGCTGGAGTATCAAAACATCATTTGCAGATGAGGCTCTACAAAGTAATTGGTTAATTCCCAATCTCATTAATTCTATTCAAAACTGCTTCCCATCCAGTAGTACCTTATTTCAAACAGGAGGGGATTCCTCTCCAAGATTTATGTCCCAGCTGGAGTATATTGGAAGTGGGGAGAGAGGAGAAGGAGAGAACAGGGTCAAAGGAAGAAAGTATCAGATACTGGGAAAAAGTTAGCATCCTTCATCAGTGCAAACTGCCCTGTACAAATATCCCAATCCAGAGAGAAACTGGAAAGCCAGTATGGTGCAGCGGTGAAGGTGCTGGATCAGAAACCAAGGAGATTTAGAGTTCCAGGCCTGTTAGGCATGAAAAGTGACTGGGTGAATCATTCACTCTCTTAGAACAACCCACCTCACAGAGTGGTTGTTGTGAGGAAAACAGGAGGCAGGAGAATTACTTTTCCCCCTTGAGTTATATATAAAAAAGCTGGGATAAAAATATAATAATAAAAAGAATATCCCTGGTTTTAAAGTTATATGAAAATATTGTTTTATGTTTATCTCCAAACTTAGTAAGGCTGAATCCCAAGTATAATTACTCAGACTATGAGTAAATTTGCCTACAAATTGACTAATAGTCCAAGAAATAACGCATTTGAGTTATTCTAAGGTAATGGTAAGTGCTATTCATTTGGAATTAATATATGGTTTGATAAACATTCAGACTGATGTAAAGAAAATTCTCATAGCAGCTAATACCATTTTGCAAAAACACACCACTGGCATGTATGTGAGCCCAAATATTGAAAGAAGATGGAATATTTACTCAAGCACTATATTAGCAACCTCTGTCTCTGTCAGTTATTTCCAGAAACCTAATACCTCAAAGCTGTTTTGTAAACTTCTTATTCCTTGTTCAGCCCAACCGCTAATACCTTTTAAGATACCAACCCATATGTATAAATACAAGTTTATACTGGAATTTCAGTACTCCCAACATTCATAAAATTTATTATCTACAACTTGATTGAGTACAAGACAAAGCTACCACTACAAACACTTGAGTCATTATACATTAATAAGCAATACATTGAAACTTTGCTAAATGCTTTTTACTCACAAAACTTATTTTTACATGTTTCTCCACCAGTTATTTGGTGCTTGAGTCTTAAGGAAGAAGTATTATATAGCAAAAAGGCCTCCACCCAGTGTGTAATTATTCCTTCACTCACCCTTGTCTTTGCTAATGTAGCAGGTTTCCAGAAAAATATGTCCATTGAATATTTTCAGATTCCATTGCTTGATCTCCACTACAGGAAGAAGGCATGTACATAAAGAGAAATGAGAGGATAATAAATTGAGCATGAACAAGAATATCAGAATCTGTACCACTATTGCTTGGAAAGCAATTGGGGTAGCAGCAAGAGTTGAAATAAACTTATGGCATTAATGCCTGCAATTCTTAATAAACAAAGGAACAATGAAGCAATACTATATTCTTGACAAATGCAGCAGAGATGATTTCAAGGATTTAAAATGAGACAACTGGAAGACCTGCTTTGAAGGGAATATTTAATGTTTTGTAACACTTCATCAGTAGATTTTTGGGCTGCTACAGACTTCATTTTCAGAACATCCATCTAAAATAAGCAGAAACTAAGAAATCCTCTTGATCTCAAACAGAATAATATAAATTGCATTTTTTGGAAAGTTCCAGAATGCATTTATTTCTCCTTGAGGCTTTCTGCACAATAATAAGCTTGCTGCTTCTGTAAAAAACTTACACATACAGCCCTAATAGTGTTTTATAACCAACTATTGCAAATGTTCCCTCTTAAATAAAAGCACTGCAAAATTATTGTGCTGACCAAAGTCTTTTTTGAATATTAAAAGTAAAAAGATAGAAGAATGCTACACTTGCATGGAAGATATTCCAATCATGCAGAATTTAAAACCCATAATTCTGCTACTGACATTTTCAGACAAGACTAGCTATGGAACTAAAACATTTTCAACTATATACAAAAGTAAATGGGAAAATTTAGATGTTATTTATCCTTCCAAGGTTTAGCATGGTATAAGCCAATTGACAAAATTTGATTTTGATTATTTACTAAAAAAAGTATATTTCCTAGTACAAAGCCACTTAAAAATTGTACTGCACAAAATCTAGCTAATACAATGAAAATTTGGTTAAAAAAGCTATTTTCAAAAACACTTTACAAATAAAGGCTGTTAACTAGATGAAAGTGAGGTCAATGAGAACCAAAAGCCACGTGCCATGGTGTGTCACAAATACAGGTATGGTTTTAGAAGATTTAATGCAGAGTCTCAAAATGATTCAACCTTCTTTGCAAGTTCACTCATCAGGTAGTTCCATCTTCTCTGAAGATACAATGTCTTGTTTTTCTTGTGTTTTTTCTTTTTCTTCTTCAAGTTCTGGATTCTGTTCGGTAGTAAAACCTTCTTGAGATGTGGTCAAATTCCTTTCCTCCATTCGTCCTTGTAGTTCTTCTCCATCACCTTTATTTTCTGCACTTTCATCAGCCACTGGATTTTCCTCAGAAGGATTGTTATCACTTTTACTTTGCTCTTCATTTAGGTTTCCTTCACCTTCAGCTGCTCTTTCCTCAATGATCCCACTTGTTCCTGCCTCACTTTCTTCATGTTCCTCTTTCTCTTCAGGATCATCTGTGAAGGGATTCTCACCCTATAAAACACGACACTGTACTGAGTTTTGGACATTTTAATCAGAAATTTTCAATGCCCAGAATTATAAAAATATATACCTTATACAAATATATAGTTGGGGGTAGTAATTTTTATTAATGCAATGGAAATGACATTTAAAAATAATCAAATGGCATAATTCCACTAACGGCTAATAGAACACCTGTTCTGTTTTAATAGATCAATGGAGTTTCTGCTCCAGATTTGGAATGCATATTGGATTGGAAGAAAGGAAAAGCTGGAACTCTTGAATATGTGCTGACATTTTGCTAGCCATGCTGCTAACATCTTCAAAGCAGATCTGAAACTTAACTTGGGCAATTTAATGGCAGAGTCTTATATGTGGTGAAAATTTAGTGGAGCAGAATACCTACAATCTATCGCTAACTGCCATGCAAATGGCACTAACTGCCATTTTTCTGGTATGAATTATTTGGATCCTTATACATTTCTATTGTTTCTCTAATCATTTTAATAAATGTTGGCAGAATGCTGATACTCTCCAAATTTATTTTGTGAAATGGTCCTTGCAGTTGAGGTCTGAACATAAAAAACAATAATTGGATAAGGATGAAACTGAATAGATCTATTTTGGAAACCATGACATTCTCATAGGAAAATAAATATAATTGAGAAATACCAAGTACATTTACATTTAAATGTCAATAATCCTTAAACTGGAGCTGAAGGTGAATATAATAACTAGCAGTAAAGGAATTTGTTGCACTATTAAAATTGAAACCTGTAATATTAAAAAAATGGAATCTAAGAAATAGAAGACTGAGAATCTGGACTCAGAAATAAAAATTGGATACAGAAAAAAAACAAAGAATTTGAGTGCAATAACAGAAAATAAACACAAACATAATACAAACATTAGTAGAATGCTGAAAAAATATAGCGCATCTAAAAGTAGATATCAGAATTTTTTTTTGCTAACCTTTAGATACCTCTCCAATTTTTTACTGATAAGTTTATTGTTAAGAATACTTCTTGCAACTACTAATGACGATTTCTTGGACTGTTCCATCATAGCCTAGAAAACAAAACCAACAACAAAAAGATATTATGCATATCATTATTTACAACATGAATGTACATCTTTTTCATTTCAAAGCGACATTCACTTAATGTTAATCATTCACTTAAAGGAGGACATGGTAAGGGATGAGGCATAGGGTCAGCTATAACAAAAAGCAAGTACCCTGCATGTGTTAATCAATTAAGTTTCATAATTAGTCTTTTTTAATAAGTTACAATGATGAGCAGAACAAATGTATCGGGACCACTCACATAAAGATTCTGTTAGCTTCAAGATAGAGAAGTCAAAGAAAACAGTGAATTACAAGCAAAGATGTCTATACATTTTGTATAATAAGAAATTTACAAAATCAAGAGAAACTGCATCTTCAATCACAGAAATGAAAATATAGGATGCAATTTGTAAATATTTATATAATATACTTTACTCGGAAGAGAAAATCTTATTACATAACATACATACTAAAATACTAATATATACACTGTATATATTATCCAGGTATTTTGAAATGGAACAGGCCGTTTCTTAATTTTATTTTGAAATGAACAGGCATTTATTATGAACAATTTATATTACTATTTTAGTAATGAATCTGCAAATTTTTTGGCATTTACCTGGACTTTAGACTTGGACTGAACCTTGGTTAGGCTTTTTCTGCTTTTTTGGGGAGCTGGTTGATGACAGACAGATTGTGTTTGCTCTCTGGCTGTGGATACTGTATTGACATGCCCATGCTGTGCCTATTCATGGTGGAGTTGCAGGGAGCTGCAGCACTTGACTGTGAGTGTGAGCCTGAGATTACATATGAGGTTGTCAGCTGCAGTACTTTTGGAGGCTCGCTATGAGCATTAAAGTCTGGGACAGTGATCTGACTGTTGGGACATTTGCAGGGGTGAAATGCTCCCGGTTCAGACTGGATCACCCGATCCGGTAATGATGGCGTCAGTAGTTTGGAGAACCAGTAGCAAAAATCCCTGCACCCCCCCACCCCCCCATGCCCAGCTGAGCTGCGCGATCATCAGAGGCCTTTTTTTTTTACTTTTAAAAGCATTTTTTCTACAACCTCCCGGGCCGAAGAGGTTGTAGAAAAAATGCTTTTAAAAGTAAAAAAGTAAAAAAAAACGTTGGCCATGCCCACCCAGTCACATTAACCCCCCCCCCACCAAGCCATGCCCACACAACTGGTAGTAACAAATTTTACATTTCACCACTGGACACTTGGCAGTGGATGAAGCTAGCTGAGCACATGGACCTGCTGCTGGTTGCCACTGTTGAGCTGTATTGTATTTTCATTTCTTTGCTGCTGGCATCGCTCATCACACGGACCAGATGACTGCATGGAACTTTCCATCTGGAGACACCAACCAGGACTCTGGGGCTTGGTTTATTGGAGAAGCTGGGCGAGTGGGATAGCAACGTAGTGACAGTCTGCTGTGGACTCCAAACACATACATCCTGCAAAGCTTTTTTCTCAAATAGCTCCAGAGAAGATGATTTTCCTCCCCAAATTTGTCAGGTGAGTCTTTCATCCCTATGCTTCCCTTCAGGGTGAGAACCTGAGAAGGGGATTGGCTGTGGATATCCTACCATGATGTCTGGAGTTTATGAAGGTCTGGATGGAGAACAACAGCTTCAACTAAACCCTGGCAAGACTGAGTAGCTTTGGCCTTTGAACCCCTCTGGTTTTGGGACTTTACCATTTTAGTACTAGATAGGCATGCATTGCACCAAATAGAACCTATGCACAATCTGGGGGTCCTCCTAGTCATGACTCCTGCTCAGAGCTGGTAGCAGATGTGACTACAAAAACATTTTGCACAAGTTTATACCATGTGCCAGTTGCACCTATTCCTACATCAGGACGACTTATTCATGGTCACTCATTCCTTGGTCACTTCCCAGTTAGACTACTGCAATGTACTCTACCTTGGGCTGCCTCTGAAGAGTACCCAGAAATTTCAGTGAGTGTGAAATGTAGTAGTATTTGGTAGCAACGATGTGTGTTTCTTCATGAGCTGTATTGATTGCCAGTTTATATTGGGTTCAATTCAAAATGCTGGTGTTGACCTTCAAAACCCTTCATGGCATGGGACTGGGTTCTGTGAGGGAGCACCTCTTACTGATTTAACTCTACCTATCAGATCCAGCAGAAAGGGCATGATATGGGTTCTGCTGCCTAAGGAGTTACCTTTGGACTTTTTCTGCTGTGGTGCCCACATTCTGAAGACTTCTCCTCCCTGAGGTGAAGTTGACCTTGTCAATGTTGAGCTTCCGGAGGTCCTGCAGGCCTGGGGACAGTAAAGTGACTCCACTACTTTTAACATTCATTCATCTAATATTCTTTGTTTTAGCTTGATTTTTATATTTTTTAATGTATAAACTGTGTTTACATTTGTTGTATACCCCCTGGGGTATATCACCTGTTTGTGAGATGGGCAGTTATATAAATTGGATAAGTAAATGAACAAACAAACAACAAACACTTACTCTACGGTTGTGGTTATGATCAAGAGATTTCAGATGTTTCTGGATGATTCCATATTGCATTGGGATGAACAGGTCACAGGCAACACAGTGAGCAGCCTCCACCTTTTTTACAAAATGTTCCATACCTATATCTAAGTAAAATAAAGTCCCTCATATATTACAGCCTGAAGGAGAATATGCATTATCACATAAGAAGACATCTGTATATCAAGGAACCTAGAAACATTGAATCTTCTATAAGATTCCAGCAATATTATCAGATTAATTCAAAAAATAAATTTAGTAAATATTGATGGAACCGAATAATAACAAAAGATGGAAACCTATCCATACAAACTAGAAAAAGGCAGGGGGATAGACCTTCATTTTTTAGGGTATTTGTCACTTGTAAATAAAAATATTTTTCTAAGAAACATCCCTATTCTGTATAACATCCTGAAATTGCTTGTAATAACATTATTACGCATTCTTTCCCATGAAGTAGCTATGAAATTATGTGCATATGGAGACAACTTCCAAGCTGTGTATAAGTCTGGAAAATTAACTCATTATTATACCAATTTGAAAAGATGTTTCTATGTGTTCTTGTATATCGTGACGCAAGAGATCTTAGCCAGCAGAATATAGAATTTAGGACCATCATACAGAGAATAATGAAGCATTTGCTAATCAACACACTATGGCATCTTTACAATAGTTATGCAAAAAAGGAAAAAGAATATACATCACTTTATACCTGAATTTTAAGATACTTTCATATCAAAAACATATATACCTTGTGTAAGATCTTGGTCTTTGTAAATTTGTTGTATAACTGCATTAATATCTTCAATTGCTTTACGACGTTCTTCTGTCTTCTTTGTTTTGTTAGCTACATATTCCTGCATTGAAGAAAACTAAAATTAATACTAAACTGAATGCTAGTAAAATTCAGAGTAGGCCTTCCAATCAAAATCAATTCTCAATTCCTCTCCCAATTTTTCCCAAGCTACATTTTCATTTCTTTCTAAGAATTAAAAAGAAAGAGCAAAGCAATCATATGCTACTTTATGGTGAAAAATACAAGTAAACAATCATTTTCTGGCATATATAGGTAGTCCACAGTTAATTAGTGTAATTGGGACTGCAAACTGTCCCAAGCACTGTGGCTGTAATGCGAAAAAACATCACATGACTCTGCTGAGATATGATGGCAGTTCTTATTGTACTTCCTAAGTGCCACATCATGTGACCATTACTTGCAAATTCTTGCTAGCTTCTGTATTGATTTTGCTTATTGGAAGCAGGATGCAAAGGCTGTAAGTGGGATCATGTGACAATGGGATACTGCAACTGTTGTAATTATGTGCTGGTTGCCAAGTGCCTGGGCTTAGATCATGTAACTGCAAATGTGTTATAATGGCTGGAACTTTGAGAAATGGCCACAAATCTCTTAGTTCAGTACTATTATAACTTCAAATGGTCACTGAACAAGGGATTGTTAAGTGAGGGCTACCACTCCTTGATATCTTTCACAGAAAAGTATCACTAGTGCTTTTGGAAATATGAGTAGAAGGCAAGTTTAAGGAGAGAAAACTCACCTGCAGGAAGTCAGCAGTCTGCTTGGGTAGCTTGGTTCCAACAAATGTAAAATGCTCTTTATGAAATTTGCTTTCCAAATGATTGGTCATCTCATCTTCATAGAAAGTGCGATATTTGCACAATGAACATACAAACTGTATTCTGTAAAGAAATAGCAAATAAAACAATTATTTGAAGATTTGCTTTTTTTAAAATCATTGGGAACTTTTCTTGAATTTAGGAAGAGAAGCTGATATATTTTAAATAGATATCATTTTTTCCAGCACAGAAAGGATCTCCACATGTTGTGTCTTATAAAACCATCCTGAAGTCTTATCATTTTACTCTCTGTAAATCACTGTCCCTAAACATAACTTGAGAATTGCTGGGACTATGAGTGCCCTAATCTTAAATCTGCTTATTTTCCCTCTGTATAATTGCTCAAAATTCCAGTAAAAAAACCTCAGTGCAAGGCAGAATTATGAAAAATATTGGTTTCTTTCCTTTGTAACTTGTTTCTCTTTTACTGTTACCCCTAATCCTAACTTAAAAATAAGACATCAAGTCAACTTTCATTAAGTCAATACCGAGCCTGTAGTACAGTAGACTAAAGCACTGTTATTAACAAGATTAACATCAGCTGCTTGCAATTACTGAAAGTTCAAATCTCACCAGGCTCAAGGTTGACTCAGCATTCCATCCTTTCAAAGGTAGGTGAAATGAGGACCCAGATTGTGGGGGCAATAAGCTGACTTTGTATAAATATACAAAAGTATGAAGGCTATTGCTTAACGCATTGTAAGCCGCCCTGAGTCTCTGGAGAAGGGCGGCATATAAATTAAAGCAAAAAAAAAAAAAAAAGTCAGCTTTCCTTATGTTAACAAAGTTTGGATATATTGTTTTACAAATCAAAACATGTAAATATAATGAAATAATCAAATCTGTAAGAGAAAAGACCACCACACAAAAATGGACAATCTAAATACTAGCAAAGAGCCCTGGTGACACAGTGGTTAAAATGCAGTATTAAAGGCTAACTCTGCCCATAGCCTGGAGTTCGATCACGATACAGCTCAAGGCTGACACAGCCTTCTATCCTTCTGAGGTCAGTAAAATGAGGACCCAAATTGTTGGGGGAAATATGCTGACAATTGTAAACTACCTAGAAAGTGCTGTAAAGCACTGCAGAGCAGTATATTAGTCTAAGTGCTATTGCTATTGAATCGAGCCTTCCCAGAAAAACATCTTACCTTTCTACCATACGATCACGGTATCGTTTTTTTTGCCTCTCTTGAGTTTTCTTCCCAGCCTGCAATTTGCGCTTAATTTGGCTGATTTCTTCTTGAATTGTCAGAGCACCTAAATATATATATATATACACACACATATATATTTCTATACGCATACATATTGAAGCAATATTGCTTTAAATACCTAAATCACTTATTTATAACAACTTTAAAGAAGCATATGAACATATTTACTCATGCAACCTTTGGAATGATGTTCTTAGTGGGTTTAGAAGTGGGTTTAGAAATTATGAAACTAATTTCTTTTGGTCATAAAATGTAGCTAATACATCTTACAATTTGTTCAGTAAAGATTGGTTACAAGTGCTATGTTGTTCAATGTTCCGATCAGGAGTTAGACATTACCTTATAGGGAATAGGCTTGTTCTACCACATCAAATTTTGGTGATTTATATCAAGGATGGAAAATGATTTCATAGTTATATCTATAACCTCAGTTTTGAAATATAGTAAGGCATCAAGAATTAGAATTTCTGCATGGGAGGCGTCCAAGAGTTAACACAGAAAATACGAATTTACATCTGATTGCAACAGTAAATTACCAATAATGTATTTATTTCCAAGCTTTTTAATTTCATATCATATATGGTCAAATGACTTCATTTGTAAATTCAGATGATATAATTAGTTAATATTGAACACTGAAAAATGAATTTAGTATTGTATTTTTTCTTTGTTGTGCTATCACCATTAATTTTTATTTGATAAAGAAAAAAGATGACTACTAATGATTCAATTGCCCTTTAAAAAGGGCAACTGAATTATTACATACACCCTTGCTACAAATGTTAGAATGTGCACGCTCACATTTGCGAACCGGTAGGGAAAATAAGTGAATACCACCCCTGATTATAATCCAAAAATATTTTACCCAAAGAAAGATTATGGCCATACTAAAACTAACAAATAGAAACATTCAGGTTTGTGCAACAAATCAATAGAGAATTGAATTGGAAGAAAACTAAAATTTAAGTAACAATATTGAAGGGTAAGAGTAACAGGAAGACAAATTAAATAACAAGTTGAAATCCCTACTGGAGATTTCCAATAGGAAATTTACCAACAAACTAGAAAGAAACTATGTTGCTTGGAGACAGGCAAAGTCTCATTTTAACAAGCTGGACGAGAATTATAAAGATGGAATATCCCCCCCCCCCGACACTTGTAAAAGCAAGGAGGTTTGGAGTCTAATTAGTTTATTAATTAATTATTAATCTATTGCTGAGATTGCAGTGATCTTGGGAATCAAAAGTTCAAAACAGTATATTTCCATTAAGAAAGAATAAAATTTGTTCTAGGGAAATGTTAAGAGTGACCATTTTCCAAAAATTTTTGCAATTCTACTAATTTACCAGTAAGCATTTTGATCATGATGAATTTACATAACAAATACTAAAACAACAATTTAGTTTTCTTAAGGCAGATTATGGCCTAACCTGTAAGTAAACTTGGCATTAAAGATGAATGAAATACTTCCATTTCTAATAAAACAGGTATTTATTAATTAATTTTTACAATCCCTCTTCTTGGTAAGAACACACAAATCTACGCATATTTATACTTGCCTTTCTCTGATTCTTCTTTTCTTTCTTCATCTTCAGCACCATCTCCCTCTCCCTCCTGAAATTATAATTAAGAACAATGAAGAATGGGGCTTACAGTCCAGGTCACAACAGATCAAGTAATCAGAAGTACTGTTAGCTATCAAGATGATTTAGAGTGAGACAAAAATGCTATTAGGCTAATTAATATAATAAAATTTAATCATACAATAAACAATTGTATGATTAATATTAGCAATAATTAATACTTTCTTCTTTGCAGACAATGAACCCTCAGAAATATATAATGTTCAAAATTTCAAAATTCTATGCAATCCTTATAATTTCACGTTTTAGGAAATTATAATTATTCTGAGACAATGATTATTTAAAATAAAAGCAGTTAGTCTTAGAATTAGCATTAGCTCTGAATTTGGAGAGGAATAAACTTAGTATATGCATGCAATCTAACTTTGTCTGATCTTAAATATGTTCAGTTTCAGATAAAACAATCACTATGTTAAGGAATCTCTTAAGATACTGTATATGCAGACAGGTATATGATGGGAAAATGGAAGTATGCCAAGTGCTCTTTCCCTATTGATGTACACCACCCAACTCTGGCTCTGACAGAAATCTATGTTAATAGTATCCCAGAGTTTTGTACACAATGTAAACAATGATACCGCAAATCTTTAAGGTGCATGTGAATTGGTTATATACCGACAATGATACCCAATGTATGAACCTCAGAGCGAAGAGCAGGGGCAGCTGACTTAATCATAATCATCTTTGCACAGAACCCAATATAATGAAAGGCCTAGGATGAGCTAGCCATTCTATTTGAGCATAAATACAAATTAGCAATGCTTTTCCTTGTCACTCTAGGCCAGGGGTGTCAAACTCAAGGCCCGGGGGCCAGATCTGGCCCATGGGGTATTTAGATTTGGCCCGCAGGGCTGCCCTGGAAACAGCAAAGGACTGGCCCATGATGCTTCTGCCAGTGAAAATGGAGCTTGGGAGGGCTGCATGCAGAGGGTTGCAGGAGGCCGTGGCGACCAAAAATGGAGCTTGGGAACCTGGCAGAGCACTTGGGCCACCACAGGCGTCCCCAACATGAGTGATGCCGAGCTGGCCATGTTCACCCTGGCCCCCCAAGATCAAACACGACCCTGATCTGGCCCTCAATGAAATCAAGTTTGACACCCCTGCTCTAGGTTAATGCTTTATATCAGTAAAATGCAGTCTAAACTAATGCCCACATGATAATAGCAAAAATATGGATGAATATATAATGCCTCCTTCCCTATTACTCTGTTCGACTATTCAGTTCTTCATCATGTGTTTTAATTTTAACTCGCTAATAATGCGGTCCTTCAATGTGGTTTCAGTTTTTTCGTTTCCCAAGCCATTAGATTGAGGAATACTATTATTATGAGGATATCTAAAATAGCAGTACTACAAAATGAATATATAAAATGACAAAATCCATTATTTGACACTTTTCCTTCAAAACTACAAAGCAGAACTGTGCCACTGCTACATTCAAAGAGAACAAATCTTCACAACATAGTTAATTTTATCAGATCAAACCGATTGCACTATATGTATTTACATGATCCAGCCACCAATTTGATGCATTGCTCAAACTGTACTGAGTACCTCAGATTATTTATTTTCTATAACCATGTATTTTAGTAATAGTGTGTTATTTTGCTTTGGCCCTTTACAAAGCAACACATTATTTATTCCATTTTTCTTCTTCAATGAGCCCTAGATATAGGATTTGGCAAAAAAGACATCAAAGGGGGCAAAATTCAATAACTTCCTTGCTTAGCAATGGAAATTTTGGGCTCAATTGGGGTCTTACACCAAGGACTACTTATACTGTATAGAAAGATAAACCAAACCTTTGGAAGTTGACATTATTGGTAGTTGACATGATTAGAGAACTGCAAAAGCAAGTCATAAAAGGCTGCCACCTCTGTTCAAGTCACCAACTCATTTCCTTTATATGTTTTAATTAAGAAAAATATCAAGACAATCACATTGCCAAGAATTCCTATTTAGCACAGCTCAGTAAAGTTCTGTGGGCGTTACTTGTGGGTGCCAGCAAGATTTTTAAAGTGTAATAGTCACATTTCTGAATTATTTTTGGTAGCTGGATTTCACTATATAACTAATTTTTCTTCAGAACTGCTCAATTTAATTGCATTAGATTAATTGTATTTCCAGTATGTCTTTACATTGGTCCATCAGCCTGGAAAAGTATACTTAAGTCCTTATCCTATATCCCTGGAGATTTGTTGTTTTCAAATTGTAGATTCCAATGATTTACTCATTATCCCTATACTCGACTTATAACCATTCATTTAATGACTGCTCATAGTTACAACAGTGCTGAAAAAAGTGACTTATGAGAGGTTTTCACACATTCCTCATGGTCACATGATCAAAATTCAGGCAATGCCAATTGGCATGTACCTATGACTGTTGCACTATCACAGGATCATGTAATCACCCACGGTAACCTTCCCAACCAGCTTCTGACAAGCAAAGTCAATGGTGGAAGCCATATTTGCTTAATTACTGCATGATTCACCTAACAACCACAGAAATTTGCATAACAACTTGTGGCAAAAAAGTCATAAAATGAGGCAAAACTCACTTAACAACTTCCTCGCTTAGCACTGGAAATTTTAGGCTCAATTGTGGTTGTAACTAGAGGACTACCTGTACTGTATAGAAAGAGAGAGAGAGAGAGAGAGAGAGAATATATATACACTACCTCTCTCTATCTAATTATTTACGATGTTAAAACAGAACATAGATAAAGAAAATCAGAGCCCAATCTTTTTTGAATTTATGCCTTTAGGAGCACTTGTCATTTTTTCAGTTTTGGCATTCTTACTAGAACATTTCTGAAGTCCTGAGAAGGTTGTATATTGCAAATCCATTTGAAGAGAATTCAGATAAAAAGTAGTGTTTTAGATACATAAAATAAACCCAATTTCTCACCTTCTGTAACCTTTTTTTGCAACTGATATCTCATTCACAGATTAGATGAAGTACAGACCACCAATTATACACAGGCCCCTCAGCAATATATCCTGTAATAGCTCCACTCTACCACCCAACACTAACTTTATTACACACTTCTTCTTACCTCTACTCTGAGTCTTAGTGTTTCAATTTTTCTAGCCATTTCATTTAATGTTCTGCTAGGTGTTTGCAACTGCAGTCTGACTCTTTGAATGCTCGACAAGCTTCACTTATTTACTTGCTCCCTATATAGTTACCACACATCCTTTATTTTATCTATACTTAACTCATCTTTATATGACCAGCCTGCATTTACTAAATATGGTTTATGAGAAAATCGACTTATAAGAACTGTTACCACGTTTCCCTGAAAATAAGACCCTGTCTTATATTTTTTTGAACCCTGAAATTAGCACTTGGCCTTATTGCCATGCGCTCAAAAGCCCGATTAGGCTTATTTTCAGGGGATGTCTTATTTTGGGGAAAACAGGGTACATTAATTCCTCAAAGCAATTTGGTAAAGCAATTTTTTATTCTAAAGGACCGAAGAATCCACAAAATAGCTCGTCAAAGCTATCATTCCACAGATTAGGTCTATAAAGATTTAACCAATTATTTCTCTTTTGCAATTACCATTGTAGTTTAATAAATCTTCATACAAGTGGAATTTTGGTTATAATTATGGTATATTCTATGTACTTCAGAAGGCTAACAAGATGTAGAAACCATCAATCTGACTGAATAAACTGGAAAAAATTTCATAGTTATACCAGTTATATCATTGTAGAATCTAAAAAGCAGTGATGGTTAACCATTTTGCCGTCACATGCCAAAAGTGGGAGGAGTCAGCGGGGGTTGTGCGCATGCGTGCCCACACCCATAATTCAATGCCCCCCGTGCCCTTCACCCCACGCATGCGTGCGCAACCCCTACCCCCCACGCTCCCCACGCTTTTGGCACAGCAAAAAGGTTACCAGTGAGCCCAGTAGGCCCGTTTCTCGCCCTCCCCAGGCTCCAGAGAATTTCATGTAGCCTGGGGAGGATGAAAATGGCTTTCTCCATCCCACCCCCCGGAGGCCGGAAACGGCCTGTTTCCTGACTTCCAGTGGGCCCGGAAGGCTCAAAAATCAGCTGGCCAGCGCGCACATGCGTGCTGAAGCTGAGCTGGGACAACACTCACGTGCCCACAGATATGGCTCCACGTGCCACCTGTGGAACGCGTGCCATAGGTTTGCCATTACGGATCTAGAGTATACTATTGAACAACTGCTCCCTTAGAAACCCAATTTCATATACACTCTACTGTAGATGTTTCCAGCTCAGGGATTAAAGTGCCTTGAGAGAGCTTTGTTCTTCAAGCATTCCTTCAAAACTGCCCTAACCTCTGCTCTTTGTTCTTTGTCCAACAAAAGAAGGAGCAATACATCATTCATCACTACAAAGGGTTAGCTTGTCAAAGGATCCTTTCCAACCCTTGTCTCTATTATATCAAATGAGAATGATAATCTTTGTAGTAAGACTGAATTCAAACTCACATTTTTAGAACCCTTCTCAGCAGCTTCTCCTTCAGGCCCTTCTTCTAAAAAGAGCAGCATATCAGGTGACTATGCATAATACAAAATAGCTGAAACATTTAGTCAAAAAAAGTGGTTTTTATATTGTCACTGTAAGTATGCAATGAAAATAAAACAGGATTTCTCAGTCTAAGTAGACCTTAGAAATAAGTTCTTACCATTATCAGAGTCTGAGTTATCTGAGTTATCTGTTTTTGCTGCTTTGCTATCAGGTTCATCAGAACTGTTAGCTTGTTTACGTTTATTACCAGTTGGCTCATTCTTTATTCTTTTCTTCTATGAAGAGAAACATAGGAGTTTACTCAGCCTTAGATAATAACTAATTGTTTTCTAATTATCAGTAAAAATGTATATTGAGACATACTTTTTTATACTCAAATTACCTCAAACAGCTAAAAACATGCCCAGATTTAATTTGGTCTATTTCATACAAAGCTGAAAGAATTTTTCTCCAAGGACTTTTCTCCAAGATTATTGGTTCATATATGGGATTCAATGAGAGTATCCAGGAATAGGTTTTTTTAAAAAAGCAAACATCTGAAACAAGGAACCTGTTTCCTATAATTAAAATAATAAATACATCACTTAACAGATACCTTTGCATTCTATTTATTTATTAAATTTATATGCCCCCCTCTTGCTCTCTAATTAGCATTGATAATTAGCATTGATAAGCAACCAGTGCAGCTTGCATAACAGTGGTGTTACATGTGTCACCCTAGAGGCCTCAGAACTGTCTGCGCCACTGCCTTCTGAAGCAATTGTAGCTTCCAAATACTCTTCAAGGGTAGGCCCATGTAGAGCGCATTGCAGTAATACAGATGAGAGCTGAGTGACTGAGCACAGGGCCTCAAGATCCAGAAAAGAATTTATACACAACATGAAGTTGCACAAAGCCATTTCTAGGCACAATTACCACCCACTCTTTGAGGAGTTTGACACTGGGCATTGCTGAAGAACATTTAAAAAATGGAGAAGATTGCATAGGTACTTACTTTAAAATCTGCATCCCACATTTTCCAGTTTCTCCTCATTCGTTGTTTCATGCTGCCTCCTCCAAAACGCATATTGCCAGAAAAGCCTCTCATACCCTGGAACATGTTGTAATCGGGGAATAGTTTGTGGGAAAAAAGCGATGGTGGTCTATTGGGGCCATGGCCCCGTCCTCCCATTGGTACTGGTGGGTCATTCCATTGTCCACCCATACGCCCATATGAAGGTGCCATGCCTCTGTTATTTCTTCCATCTCTGGTCCAATTTTGACCCCGGTGGCCAAAGTTGTCACGCGCTCTGTTGTGGTACTGGTCCCTGCGGTTGCCATAGGAGCTGTCATAGTGACCTTCATAGGCATTGTCAGTTTCATGTTTAGCCTCACTGTAATCAAAGCCAGATCTGTACGGATCACGGTCATTCATTGCAGACCTTGAATCATAGGGTTCATATGTATCATACCTACAAGAGTTGCAGAACAAGGTGAGAATCTAGGTTAGTAATATACAGAGCACCATATTTAAGCATCTGTAGTAGAAGCAGGTTATATTAAAAATAAAAACAAAAAACAGTCAGAATTATTCTATATTCAGTAAAACCATAAAAAGCTGAACTCATCAGGAGGCTTATTCATTGTACATTCAGTAGAAAATAAACACTGCAGCTTCATACATATAAGGGCTGGATAAAAGAATAATTCTCGTTTAATCTCAATAAATCATCATCATAATAATCTGATTAAATTTACAAATGTGTTCCAGCTGGGAGAATTATGCAAATAATTATATTTTATCTATTCCTGATTCATACACCAATTTCTATACATATTTGACTATGTTAAACAAATGAAGTCCCTGGGAATAATTTTACAAAATAAGTTTTTATCAATTTATTCTATGCTGTCAAATAATTTTTGAAAGAACCGAAAAACATTAGCTATATAAAACAATATATTTCATGTATGACACCTAGCCAGTAATCTCTTCATTGTAGAAAAAACCAGAAACAACATCTAAGAAAATGTTGAAAATAATCCTTTGTGCTTCTTATAATGAATGGCTAAGACTTGGATATTTTTTCAACTTGAAATGGCTTAGTTACCCCTATTTCATGATAACATTCCAAAAGTTCCAAAGATTCAAGTCACGTTTATTAAATTGTAATTTATTAAATTATAAAATTGTAATGCATAGTCATCCAAATGTGATGACATATTTGAAGCTAAACCACTTTTATTTCTGTAGCATGTTGTTTTGATTGCTATGGAAAAGTAAAAGTAATGCTGTGTAAATAAACCAGCACTGGACACAAGCACACAAATTGTGTTTGGTATCGAGGATCTGAAAGCAAGGATATGGAAAGGAAAGAATGGCTGAGGAGGAGACTTTAAAAGCTAACTCAGAATAGAAAAGAAGGCAAAGTGAATTGGATGATTTACCAATCTTATAATCCTCATACCAAAGTACAGCAAAGTATGGCTCACCACTGCAACTTTCTGCGGTGTTTTCTTGGAAATTTATTTTGAGTATTTAGCAACAGTGTACCGTTAGCCCACTAAGATCAAATAAAAATGCCCACTCTGTATGATAAAACTGAAATCTGGAAGATGCTGAGAAGGAAATTTCATTGATTTAACTGCACAAAATTGCCACTTTAGCCATCCTCAACTTGGAAATGTTATTTTGTTGATGTAATGTTTAGGAATCCTTATAAACCTTTCTAAGTTTTATGCGTAGAAACCATTCCAGCCTGTAAGGAATGAGTCATAAAAACAGAAACACCTATTAGAGCGTGACATAGTGATCTGCAACAACTCTTTTTCTCAAGGCAAGAGACGTTATTTAAAGTCAACTATTCAGTAGCATTTTAAAAATAAAAATTATATTAAATGGCTCCACAAAACCAAAAGCTAGTTTTGAAAGCTAATGCTGTATATGTCAATGTATGTCACTACAACGAGAAGACAATACAAAATATGCCTAATTCAGTCACTATATTTCAACTACTCAGCTCTTATTCAAGAAAGAAATATGTAATTAAGAAAAAGTTGGAATATAGTAATCATTTGATTTAATATTTAAATATTTGTAGCTCCAGATATAAATAGTAGGTACATCCTATTTAGACCAATCTCTAGATCAGTGATGGCAAACCTATGACATGTGTCAAAGTCACAACATTTTGGGTGATGACAACTATTCTCAAAAATATGCCTTGTTCTTATGTGATTTTTGGAGGTTGTGTGAGAATGGGACGTGTTCTTATGCGCCACGCAAGAGGTTTGTGCTCTTGCATGGACTCCGGAGTCTCTGAAAATTACATAAAAATGGGCCATGTTTTCAGAGTTTTGTATGTATATGCCATGATATAAGATCATACATCAGAGTAATATACATGTTGCACAGAATCTGATGTACATATGGAAACACAAGACTAGGTTTTTTTCCTAACTACTTATTATATTATTCATGTTGTCTTGTATTCTTGTATGGACTGCACCAGTAGCGGCTAAACCAATTTCGTTGTATACATGATGTACAATGACAGTAAAGGTTTGAATTTTCAGAGGCTGTAGCGGCCATGGAAGTGCATTCTTTGAAGCCATTTCAAGAATGAAGAACTTGTGCAACTTGGAGCTCCCTTGGATAGGCCACAGGGGCCTATCAACAGAAAGAGAATACCGCTTGAAAGCAAGCGGCACATGGCACACCCTGGGGATCACACACAAAATTGGAGTTTATTTTTTTGAATTAAAAAATGTATAAAAAATTGATTGTCTTGTTCCAGGGATACTGTGATATGTCAGCAAAGTCAACTTAAGCATTTTCCTAACTTTTGACAAGCCAAGCCCAAAGATTCACTACCATCGCTCTAAATATATACATTTAAAATACAAAAGTACTGTCCAACTACTAATTCTAGTATAAATTATCAAGTGTTTATAGAATATATAATTTAATTATTAAATTTCATATTATAATACAAAGTAATTTATTTTAATCTATTTAAAGTCTTTAATATGCAGGAATTTCAAAAGCAAATATATATATATATATATATATATATATATATATATATATATATATATATATATATATGCCAAATATATGCATTTGCTTTAAACTAACAATGTATACGTTTACATTAATAATGACATATACTGTAGATTAAGGAGAGATTCTCTATGTATTTTTAATAAAACTGATGCAAAATCCAGAGAAATTCTGCCTAATGGATATACTATTTCAATGGGATGTAAAAGTAAAGTCTTTGGATAGGTCACTGTTTTCAGAAACTGATCAAAGTACTCAAACCTGCATTTATTTCAGAACATTTTATTACAATTTAGCTACCATATTTTCATCATTCAAAGACATATTTAAGCACCTTACTTGCAAAGTTCAATTAAAAATACAAACTTAGCTAAGTGTCTATTTCTCATAAGTTTTCTGTAGCAGTATGGAGCAATGTTTAGGCAGCAGCACAAGGTTTGATCAACATGCCTTCCAGAAGCAGAAACTAGCCTGTTCTATAACTATTACTGAACCTTTGTCTCTACACTCACCTGTCTCCACCTGAGCCATAATGTCCTCCTTGCATCGTTTCAGTGTCTAGATGAGATACCATATCTAAGCGCTGGTTAAAATTTGAAATTACATCATCAGCGCTGGTGCCAGTGGATGCGTTAAAGTTCATGTCTGTATTTGAATTAGGCATTTCCCAAGAGTTTGAAGTGCCCATACCATACCCATAATTGCCAGAGTTATCCTGACCGTATCCATATCCATAATTATAATCTTCGTAACCTGAAATGAAAAAGAGTTATTGAGTTTTCTTTTTAGATGTTTAGAATGCTACTAGGCCTGTCTAATGCAAGATTGGCATCACCAAGAATATCTCTTTCATGTTACAGTGGCTACACTTAGAAAAATAAATTTCTGTATCTACTTCCAATTCAACATATAAAATTAAATCTTATTTCTATGACAGCAGCATTTGATACATGTCCTGAGAAACATTCATTCCCATCATTCCTAAAACTAAGTGTTGCTAAGTCTTCATCTATAATACCTCGCTCCCATTTGTAGATCAATTTTAGGACAAAGCCATAAGATACAAAAACAGAAATAACATTGTTATTTCCAGTCTATTCAGTTTGTGAGGAAGCTGCCCACAACAAAATATTTATTGCTTTAGGTAATACTACTACCTGATCTTTGGAGATAGAAAATTGCAAGAGAACTATAGTTTAGAAGATTGATAATCCTTTTCTTTACTGAACAAGGAGATATTCTGTAAAAAGTACTCAGGTCTTGCACATTTAAAAAATTATGAATTAACACAATTGCAAAACTAGGCAAATGTACAGGGATACTCTTCTAAGGAATGGAAAAGAATATATATCATAGAAGAAAAGATGAAGGATACCCATTCCAACTTAATACGATTTTGTGAACAAAGAACATTATTTATTTATTTATTTATATTTCATATTTCTTAATAGCCTATCTCTCAGAGAGGGGCTCTGGATGGTGTACAATATAATCAATAAAATTAAACATTAAATTAAACGTAAATTAAGAATTAAAAATAAGGATCCAAATATATGACAAGAAATATATGAATTGAAAGCATGAACTTAAATTAAAGACTACTTCATGAGTAAAGACAAAATATATATTGACATATTTATATATAGTTTATCTATATGGATACATCATGTAGCTGAAGAGTCCACAAAAGCACACAGTTCAGTCTCTGACAACCATTCAAATAAAGTTATTCTAGTTAGGGATTCAGATGTTTCAGTGACTTGAATGAAGAATATTCTGCATTTGTTCTGAATTTCATTTAAAATGGTATTTATAACCCTCCAACAAACTGGACACCTAAATTATCAGTATACCTTCCACATTATGAAGATCTCCATTTTGTCGAAATATTGTTTCTCAAAGATATAGAGCAGTGGTTCTCAACCTTTTTGTTCACTATGGACCCCCTTTACATACTTTTTGTGGCTCACAAACCAGTGGTGGGTTCCTCCCGGTTCGGCCCGGTTCGACCGAGCCGGTAGCAGTGACGATATGACATCACTGAACCGGTTCTGCCCACCCCCACCCCCACGCCTCCCCCACCCACCCACCGCATTATTCTTACCTTTTATTTGGCCCCACCCCCAATTTATTGCTGCCTCCTGAATCCCAGCTGATGGCTAGAGGGAAAAAAAACTGTTTAAACTCTTGCCGTGGGGCTTTAAAGGGCCGCCCTACAGCTGATCAGTGTTAAAAGAAAACAAATGAGTAGATAGGTGCCTGGAAAAATACATGAGTAGACCAGTGCCTGCAAAAATACATGAGTAGACCAGTGCCTGCAAAAATAAATGGGTAGATCGGTACAGCCTGGTAGACCAGTACCTCTACTAAATCCTAAATAATTGTCACATGACCATCAAGCCACGCCCACAAAATAAGCCACATCCACAAAATAAGACACGCCCACAGAACTGGTAGTAAAAAAATTTAGAACCCACCCCTGTCACAGACCATGGCTACAGACCCAAAGACTTAACTCAAGATTTAAATCATAACATTTCTTCAAGCCTTCATGGACCCTGTGACAACATCACAGATTCCCAGGGGTCCATGGATCACAGGTTGAGAACCACTGATGTAGAGGATGATATGATTTGAAATGTTGGCATACAAATATTCAATTTATTGATTTGAAATGAAGCTCTACTATGTTTCATGAGGTTAATTGCAAGGTATGACTGATGTAAAAATGTGAATTCCCATGGATGCATGAAGATACTTTGTTCTACATTATATATTTAGAGAAGTGCTAGGCAAGGAAGCCAGATTAGGTGAAATGTTGCAAATACTTTTTAAAATAAATACTTTTTGGGATACATTTAAGTAACTATGGATGGAACTGTAATTATAAAATTTGCTACTATAGCTCAGGGGTTCCCAACCCCCGGTCCATGGACTATCACCAGTCCATGGCATGCCAGAAACAGGGCCTCACAAACAAGTGAAGCTCCATCCACGTAATGCAGGCAGCACACGAAACCACGCCCCCTTGGGTCCTCAGAAAAACCTCTCTCCATAGAACTGGTCCATGGTCCCCAAAAGGCTGCTGCTATAGCTCATATGCTATACGAAAATTCATTATGAAGGTCAAAGATCAGTTAGAGCCAAGCATCAATTTTACTGATTTATAGGGGATGGTGCAGTTATATAAACTTGGATTTAATCATAAATGAAAAGACAACATTAAAAAGATCATACATTGAATTAATAAAAATGTGACATTTTGGTATTTTTTTCTGGTTAAATTAGTGCGATTGAGTTATCTATAAAACAAATGCTAGCATTCCATTAAAACTGTACTTACCTCTATTTGTTCCAGAATTCCAATTTCCATAACCTAAAAAGAAATTTCCAAATGAGTATTTTTCAAAATGATTCAGATTTATTTATATATAAATTGATAGTGCTCCATACTAAATGCCACATTGCAGTAAGCAGTAGTTTGCAACTCTTGCTCTTCAGTTTTAATCTCATTTATGGGTTTCTCTTTGCTAAAATCTTAAATTTGTTATTATCTCTCATATTCTGCAGTACAGTCAGTGGTGGGCTGCTGCCAGTCCGGATTGGTTCAGATGAACCTGAAGTTCCGACGATCAACTGGTCCCGCCCACCCACCCTATCTTCTCCTATATTTCCTTCTTTCTGGCTCAGCTGATTTCCACGCCTCCGCTGTTCTACTTACTGGGGCTGCCTTAGAAGGTAAGCAGCTGAGCTTCAAATTGCTGTATTTGTGCGCAAGCGCTCACAGAACCGGTTGCTAAACCGGTTGCAGCCCACCACTGAGTACAGTGTACAGTGAAATAGCACTGTACACCTCCTTTTCTAGATTTTACTGTAGAAATACGATGGCATGATCTACTACTGAAAATTTGAGGCAATACACTAATATATATTCTCAGATTAGAAGACTATGGAATTATGTTTTTTAATAAATAAATATTCTGAAAGTATAGGCAAAATTGTTTAGCATTCCTAAAGAGATTACTGGAAACAACAAATATATATAATCCATTAGATCTGTCCTTGCCTGAATACTGATAGTAATATATGGAAACCTTATCAAACAACCATAGTATTAATCTACACTGTCACAGTATCCATTTCACAGTATACTGACAAAAAATCAAGAATAAAGATAGTACCATTTTTGCACCAATTATGCATTTATTACTTCCATCCTAGTAATAGTTATTTAACAATAAAGAAGAAGCAGCAAGATAATTCTTTTAATGGGAGTACCACCATTACTGAGACATACAAAAGCAGGTCACTAAATGATTGTCTGCCCACATAAGAATATTTAAATCTTATTCCTTTCTATCTTTATTCTTGACCACATATTACCAGTTGTTGGTTATTTAAGAAAATACCTAAATACAATTTCTAAATACTCCTAACAAACCTATCCTATAGAAGTTGAGAACAGTATCATTTCTGTAAATCCACCATCCATTAACCACCAATAATCTCCCGTAAATCATACCTATATATTATACAACTCCAGACTTAAAAAGGATAAAAACCTGATTACACAAATAAAATTGACAACAATGGTGAAAAAACTCAAGCTATGTATTATACTATCATATTTGAATTGATTTTAAGCTTATTTGAAGATAATTGCACAAAGGAATGATGCTTCAAATATGTAAATGTGTTCATTTTAAATAAGAAAATAAAAAATATATATTTGTAGGTACAGGTAATCCTCAATTTATGACCACAATTGGGACTATGAATCCAGCTTCCCCAAGGGGCATTTTTTGCCAGAAATCACATGACAGTAAGACATTGCAACTGGTTGCAAATGCGAGTTGGTTGCCAATTGCTCCAATTGTGAACGTGTGACTACAGGGCAGGGGATAGTACAATGATTTTAAGTCATTTTTTCTAAGACCGTCATAACTTTGAACCATCATTAAACGAACAGTCATAAGGCAAGGACTACCTGTAATAAGTTGTATATTACCTAAATATCTAATTCTTAAGCGCTATCCTAGGAGGAAAAAAAATAGATATGCGGGAGAATGAAAATGTATTCTCTTATCCTGGTTCTTCCCTATCCCACATTATCTGACTGCCCAAGACTGCAACAAACTTTTTTGTGCAAAAATTGTTTTATGAAAGATCTCTCTACAGACTACTGAAAATCTCATGCCTATTTGTTTTTAGCCTTCAATTGGAATAAATGGTGCATCATCGTGCAAAAGTTTGGAATCAAAGAACTTCAAATGGGCTAACTTACAGAATGCATGCAAAATCTAGGACCAATGACTTCCACTGGGTTGAAATATGGTAAAGTTGTAGCTGCTTCAGTACCACTGTGCTGCTACGATCGGCTGTGGCCAAATGATCATTTTCAATGCTCCCTGCAAGCTTCCCACAAGGAATTTCAACGGGGAAGCTGGCAGGAAGCTGGATTTCCCAGACCAGGAGACCGGTAAATGGCTGCTGCAATGTGGAGATGAAAGTGAGGGGTGCATGGGGCTGCAGAGAAGCAGTGCAAGTTAGAGAGGAAATGAAGGGTACACAGGACGTGCCACGTGGATTGGGAAGGGTAAATGGGAGAGGTATGTGAATCAGGAGGTTGCGCAGGAGTATTGAGTATTCAACTAGAAGAATTGAATTGGAAATGGGCTTGTCACATAGCAAGAATAACGATGACAGGTGGATCAAGACAGTCATAGACTGGATCCCACTTGATAAAAAGCGTCCACGAAAGAGACCTAAAACAAGATGGATCGACGACATCAGCAAATATTGCAGGCCCAATTGGCAAAGGAAAGTTCAGGACCATATAGGTTGGAAACATGTGGAAGAAGCCTTCATCCTGCAATGGATAGACAATGGCTAAAATGATATTATGAAGAGATGTAATTTAGCTGATAACATAATAAAACTTCTACATCTCTGAACAAAGACAGTTTTTAGCATCTAATGATTGTTAACTGACAAAGTATTTGTAGTGTATGCCCCATGAAATTTTATCTGCATAATCACCCTATATCAACTGTTTTATTTCAATGCCTCATATTTAACATTTTAAAAAATCTCATTTCAAATTAGCCATCCTATACATATGATTGAGTTGCAGCTCATGGAAGCTTATGTGTTTTAGTAAAATATGTAAGCCTTAAAAGGTACTATGAGAGTCTATCTCATTTGTAGGGGGAAGAAACTTTACTTAAGAACAAAGTAGGGTAGTTAGAACTACACAGAGCTCATTCTACACACCAGTATCAAGGTTTTACTGAAATATTTGAAATCAAAAGTGGCACTAGAGTTTGAAAAATTACTTACATGGTTTCTTAACACACGTGGAGAGGTAACTTTATCACATCGAATGCACCAATTTGTTGAGCAATTATAAAGAAGGTTAAGTATTCAGCCACACTCCTCTTTAGCACACATTTTAAGACTTTGGAGCACAAGTGCTAAAGAAGATTCTATGCACAATCTGACAACAATCACTTTGGAAGAAATTGAGGAGCATATTTAGCTAAACATAACACAGACTTTGCCAAAGCATTACAGAAAAAATGTTGCACCATATGTATGAAGACGCAGAAAATATCTAAGAAAACTATAAAGATTCTGAACCTTGCATCCAGCTTTGAAAAAAAAAAGTCTAATAGTTTCTAATACATGTAATTCTCAATTTACGACCACAATTGAGTTCAAAAATTCTATTGTTAAGTGAGACATTTGTTAAGTGAATTTTGCCCTATTTTACAACTTTTCTCGCCTCAGTTGTTAAGCGAATCACTGCAGTTGATAAGTGAGTAACCTGGGTTGTTAAGTGAATGTGGCTTCCCCCATTGACTTTGCTTGTCAGGAGATCACAAAATGATCTTGGGACACAGCGGATGGTCATCAATATGAACCAGCTGCCAAGCCTCTGAATTTTTGGTCATGTGATCATGGGGATGCTGGAAAGGTTGTAGCTGTGAAAAACGGTCATTAAGTTTTCAGTGCCGCTGAAACTTTGAATGGTCACTAAACAAACTGTTGTTAAATCGAGGACTACCTGTACTGAAGGATGAGTAAGGCAACAGGCCAAGCAAACCCAGTCTTGCAACTGTGCATTAGTTGTTTGAAAGACGGAACCCGTTTAAATCCGAAAACGGATCCATACTGACGGCTAAGGGTCGGAAATCAACCCCAGATTAGTATATATATATATGTATACAGGTCTATTTAAACGGAACAACTGCTGACGTGGGTTCCCTGCATCTTCCTTCATCCTCACTCCTATTAATTTAATTTTAACTTTATTGTCATTGCACCTCGCACAACGAAATTAAATGCCATCTTCAGTGTACATTAAAAAATAAAAAATAAAAAACCAAACCCCCCCCCCACAAATCCTTCACATTCTATACAATTGTATTGAAAACCCCTGATACAACTATTACAACTACTCCCAAGGACCGGAGGGGGGGGGGCTGGAGCGGGAAGGTCTAGGCGTGCAGAGGACAGGCTATATATCCCTGTCCAGATGCCCAGCTTCCTTTCCCTCACGGCGGCGACGGCGGCTCTTCGTTTCTCGCGCCTTCCACAAATGGGGGGGTGGGGGAGGGTGAGCCCCGGGGGGCCAGAATGAGGCGAGGCCCCTCACGACCCCCACCTCTCCGAAGGGCCAAAGAAGCCCCCGCCTCCCACTCCACCCCGTTTCATGAGGACGATGAACGAGAGGAGGCCGGGCAGAGGCTTCCGCCTCGACCACGAACGGTGGCGAGTAGCTCGAGCCAGCAATGCCTGAAAACGGTGGGAGGGGGGAGGGGGGGATGGCAAGGCTGGTCGTGACCCCACCCCCGGAATGTTGCCATGGGCTGGGCCTAACCCTCCTCTCAGTCCCCCTCCCGCAGAGCCAAAGCCGTCCCCTCCCGTGACGGCCCTCTGCTCGAGAGCCCCGTCTTCTCACCCACACTCCCCTCACCTGAATAGCTCATGATGGCGGTGGCGGTCCCGAGCGCTTCCCAACGCCGCTCCTTTCCCCACCCGTTCGTTAGCTCCTGCGCCAGACGGCAACCGTAGCTGGCTTTAAACCCCGCCTCCCGACACTGTTCGCTGTGGTCACTTTCCTCAGCCTCAGTCTTCCATTGGTAACGGTAACCCACCCCCGTCCCGCCCCTTTCCGGTTCTATTGGACCGTGAGGGTCCAAAGCTCCGCAGCTCACTCGATGAGAGAAACGTCCGTCAGATCTACTGGGGGAGCGGTAGGTAAAGAGGGATGTCAGTTTTATCCCGCCGAGCAAATGATGTCTGCCGCTCGATGTCCTTAACGAGGTTATTGGATCTAACGAAACTCTTATCGCTGGTAACGGGCGAATAGACGTCGGGTGCTAATTTGCCCACGCTGTTTTCTAGACCAGGGGTCTTCAACCTTGGCTACTTTAAGGCTGGAGGACTTCAACTCCCAGAATTCCCCAGCTTTGCTGGCTGGGGAATTCTGGGAGTTGAAGTCCTCCAGTCTTAAAGTAGCCAAGGATGGAGACCCCTGGTCTAGACTGCAGGCGAGCAATGGTCTTTCAACGGGAGGCACCCTGGATTCTTGCGTTGGCTAGGATGAGCGCGCCTTCTATCGGGAGCTGCCCATCGGAATGTAACCTGTTGTGTCGCCCACACAACACAAGCGTGCACAATAAGGGGGTGCGGTGTCCTTTTGTGTGGCGAGCTCTTTTTCCTTCCTTCCTTCCTTCCTTCCTTCCTTCCTTCCTTCCTTCCTTTGGCTCCTGAAGACCCTTTGAATTGAAATGCTGGGACGTCAGTTCCCCGAGTTGCTTTTTAACCGATGCAGTGTATTCAGATAACGAGGGGGAGGAGCAGCCATTAAGTGTATTGCAGACTGAGCGATTTAAAAGAAAAAGAAAAAAAAAGGAGGAGGTCCGCGATGACACCCGCTGGGGATTGCGATACTGTAAAGCGCATCCAGCGACGTGCTTTGTGTAGGCCGGGCCCATCTCGGTTGGCTACTTGTGGAAATCGTTTGAGTCGCCCCCTCGTGCAGAACACCGGTGTAAACAGGGCCGGATTTAGATGAAAAGAGGCCCTAGGCTATTCCACTTATGAGGCCCTTTCACCTATAGTGAAAGTGTAATTTTAATTTTGCTTACAATTTGAATGTAGGCCCCTCTTGATCTTGAGGCCCTAGGCTGAAGCCTAGTTAGCCTATAGGAAAATCCGGCCCTGGGTGTAATAAACTCGCGGAGGCTATCGGTCGTTAGAAGTCGAAATGGATGGTACCGAATCAGTGCGAGATATCAGTAAATAGCTTGTTCGGTAGAAAAAAAAAAGTTTCCACTCAAGGTACCTGGGGAATCCTAGTTCTTCCTTATGTTGGATTAAATTGAATTCATTTGAGGGATCCTTACATAAGATTTATCCCGGCGGGTTGTATGCAAGTTGAGATTGACATTAATTAAAACTTTTGAGTCAACTCCTGGTGACTTCGCGGACATAATTATTGTTTTGTTGGCAGTTACAGAACTGATTAGTCGTTGCCTTCTAGGTCCAGTTTCGGGTTTGTTTTATTTCTTGTGCTACAGCACAGATCTGCAAATTTCCAGCCGAAGAGTCTGCAAATTTGGTCTGCAAATTTTAGCCTGTTTAGCTACAGTGAATATACTATATAAAATCATGGCTGCCTGACAAGAGAAAACAGCTCTTGGCAGTGAGATAAAAGCTACTGCCTTTTCATTAGATGGGACTCTGCAATACATACTGCTGCAATGCAGCATCATTCTCTAATAATGAAACACCCCCTTGAAAGAGTCTAGCTAAAAATCTTGCTAAATCTGATTCAGACTGTAAGCAGGGGCTCTGAAGTATGAGCTGACAGCCTTCAAATATTGGCTGCTTTTAAATCTCTGGCATTGCTTCCTATTGAGGCCCTATGTTTTCAATATAAGGCTGGGTGTTTTGGTTGGGTGTCATTCAGTACTGCCACAGAATGACACCCAAACAAAACCTGTGGAACTGTATGCAGGTGGGAGCATCTGGTTGGCTTAGTTTTTATCTAATTATATTACCTGTCCCAGGATTGCAGTGTAGCACCCCTCAGGGCTTAGATCAACCTACCTCAAAGAACTCGAGAAAATTGTTACTTCACTTCCACATGTTTGGAGGAGGCAGACAACCAAGAGCCAGGACAGTGTAAGCACTAAACAACTGGACCCTGTTGCTTGTGGTGCAATTGGATGCCCAAGAGCTTTGGCTGTTATTGTCCTTGTTTATGGGGTTTCTATTGACTGTTTTGTTCCTCAGGAGGTGCTACCATTCTCCTTGAATGTCAGACTCAACAGCCATTAAAAATTAACCACTTAAGGAACGTGGCTTCTAGCTAGTCCAGACTTGAAGCAGTGTACAGACCTGGTTGTTTCACTTTTGGGTGCCATTTCTTTTATTACTAAAGGCAATCACTTATCTGACTACTAAAGGGTGTAGACTGCTGAAGAACCTTGTGTTGTTCAATCTTTGCACCTGTTCTGTCTGGTATTACGTATGAGAAGTTTCTTTCAGTTTGGATGAGATGAACTAATTGCCAAACAGTTTCTAGCCTCACAGAAGCAACAGAGTGAGCTCTGGAAGGCAGCAGTGGTATGAGACCACAGTTCTCAGTTGATTAGATCCATCCATTCTAGCTGGGAGATTTCATGTGGATTAAAAAGTGCCTGGTTTCATAAAAGATGGAAAAATGAACTGTTTATTTTATTTTATTAGTCATATTTCTATGCCGCCCACTCTCCGAGGACTCTGGGTGGCTTACACCAAAGACAGTATACTAAATAGCATATTGCCCCCAATAATCTGGGTCCTCATTTTACCCACCTCGGAAGGATGGAAGGCTGAGTCAACCTTGAGCCGGTGAGATTTGATCCGCTGATCTAGCAGTCAATTGAAGTAGCTGCAGTACTGCACTCTAACCACTGTGCCACCTCAGCAAAGTCAACTGTTGCTGACTTTGACAGACTCTTGGAACTTGCCTGATGAACTTTTTTTTTCAAAATCTTTGTGGACTTCTTATTTTTAAGCAGCTATGACTTCTGTTGGCCTTGTGTTTCTTTTGCAATCTTTTTATGCTGCAAATGGATATCGGATAGGCTAGGAGACCAATACTCCTGTTCCAACTCAAACTTTACATGATCAAAAATGCGGCCCTACAAATTAAACTTGTAGTATTTTCTCCTTGTCAACCCCCCTCCCAGAGGTAAGGGATATCCTCTTTTTCCTGTGCTTGAAGTACTGATTGGTGAGTAAATCACATTATTGCATTTCACAACCTCCCTTATTTTGTAGACAGGATTTTACTATTTAGCTGAATTTATTGCAAATGTGTATTTTGTGTTTGAAATCTTTCTTAATGACAGCTCAAACAGCTATAAGCAATTTCCGGCTGAATTAATTTCTCAGAAAGATGTAATATTGAAAACTAAGATGGCCTTAGAGCAGTTATTAGTGTCTGTATGTAATTTATTCAAATCTTCTGAATTTTTCATGAAAGTTTAACAGAGTTTAACAGAAATTAACTAAAATAATTTTTCCTGACAAGAAACAGGGAAACCTTTCAAAGAGATCAAAACGTTTGGGACTTGCATGACAGATTGGAGTGGGTGAAGCATTTACTGCTTATGGGAATGGCTATGATTGCCCTTCCCCTGCTTGGATGTTTAGTCTTCTTCAGTGTACCCTTTCAATATCTACAACCCAGTGCTGCCATTATTCTTAGTTTTGCCCCACAGAACACTCCCACCATAGATCCCATGCAATGTCAAATGTTAACTGCTCACTTGCTTAATTCATTAAAGGATGATTTAACAAATTAATACTTTGAGAAACAAATAGGGAATTTGTTACCTGGAATTATATGCTTCATTAAAGGTAAAGGTAAAGGTTCCCCTCGCACATATGTGCTAGTCGTTCCTGACTCTAAAGGGCAGTGCTCATCTCCGTTTCTAAGCTGAAGAGCCAGCGCTGTCCGAAGACATCTCTGTGGTCATCTGGCTGGCATGACTAAACGCCAAAGGCGCACGGAACGCTATTACCTTCCCACCAAAGGTGGTACCTATTTTTCTATTTTCATTTTTTACATGCTTTCGAACTACTAGGTTGGCAGAAGCTGGGACAAGTAACGGGAGCTCACCCTGTTACGCGGCACTAGGGATTCGAACTGCTAAACTGCTGACCTTTCGATCGACAAGCTCAGTGTCTTAGCCACTGAGCCACCAGGTCCCTTTTAGCTACTGAGCCGTCCCTTTATGCTTCATTATTAGCATTTTAATAAAGGTGATAGTAAGCACTTTAGCATTGCATCGTCTTCTTTTGAAGTTTAGGAAACCATGTTTTTTCTTTGAGACAAAACTTTCCCTGGGTGGGAAAAGAAATGCAACATATTTTAAGGGTGTCTATTTTTTTTTCCATTTCTAATCAACAGCTTTTATAGTTTGATTTATGCTGATGTATCACATGTATCAAATGTATGTGTCATTTGTTTCTGTACCAAATATAAAGATTTGACTTTCCCCACTTAGTAAAATGCTTTTTGCTTTGGTTTGTTGGGGAGGGGGGGACACAAAAACCATTTTTCAAAGACACTGAATATTTCTCAAATTCAGAAACTAGGTTTTCTGGTTCCATGACAACCTTTCCAGTTCCATGACAATCTTATGGGCAATAAATACACCTTGGGAGGCTCCTGGATCTGAATCTAATTTCAAACAATCTCACCATCCTGAGGATTACTGGCTGGTGGATAGAGATATTAGGATTTTTATTTCAATAAATTTGAGAGAACATAACTTTTATTATCTTTAATTAGAATGTTTGTAGCCCAATCCTATATCCATCTTAAAGCTGACTGAACAACTCTGTGATTTCAATTCTATTTTTTCCTCTTTGTTTTTATCATCTCATCTGATGAAAAGTTCAGAAAAATTCAAATTGAAGGTATTTCCCTAATATTACTTTTAAAATGGGAAATTTTTATAAAGATAAATGTAAAAATAATAGTGTCAATTAAAAAAATACTAGATACATACTAAGAGTAATGCATACTTGAAAAACCTAACCTAAGTCCAACAATGGGACTTAAATGTAGTTTGTGTAGTAAAGCATCATCTGTGAATTCAACTGCTGTGGACTGATGAGTAAATTAATCCATGCTGTACAGTGGTGGGTTGCTACCGGTTTGCCCCGGAGGCTCTGCCCACCCGTCTGAACG